TTTGTTGTCTGTACGGTACGGGAATGCCTTTTCCTTTCAGGTAAATCGAGGCCTTCAGGGTGTGTACAAGAAAGTCGAGAAGCACCTCTGCGAGGAAGAGAACTTGCTGCAGGTGAGTGTTGTTGTTAACCGTATGTAATGGTGAGCCAACAAACACATTAAATGGAAACAAGGAAAACGCTAACGCATAACTTGTGCCCCGCCGTTTTCCTTGTTTCCATTTCATATCTGCAACTATGTAATGATTGTGCTAAGGAGCATGGTGTGTCATCAAGGTACCATGTGGCGCGAGGTAAAACCGGGGCACCATTGGAAATCGATGGGATCATTACAGCGCACTGTCATGTTTATGGCTTAAGTGGGTTTCGTTGCGCGTTTTGGTCTATCTAATTGATAATTGTTTTTGAGATTCTGCTTCCCCATGCACCGCTTTGCTGTCTTTTCTGTGACTTCTGGAGCTGTTGCTCATTGTGGCAGCAAAGCTTCTGTCCTATTGCCTACCTGTGCCTTTCTTCGATCTCTTTCCACCAATATCACCCTACCCTGTCTGCTTGGCATCCGTTTGACCTTGCTGTTGTGTTGTGTTCCGTCGTTGCTGGTGCTGCTGCTGCTGCTGATCAGGTGGTGTGGCTGACCATGCAGAACGAGTTCATCCACCAGTACAATCACTTCACCGAGCTCATCCAGCGCTGCTACCCTGATGCAATGATCTCCATTGAGTTCTCGCTCGAAGATCTGCTGGGATTCTTTTCCAACATTGCGCAACAGCACTAGGCATAGCCGCCCTGTGGGGCTGTGTGTGCCCGTGCTTCTTTGTATATGATATTTTTTATCTTCCCTTCCTCCTTTCGTTCCACCACCAGCTGTACATACTTGATTGGCTGTTGCTAGTGATCAGCGCATTACTTGTCTACGACTAGCCCTAGTTTCCCAGATCGCTTTTATACGCTTCCTTCTTATTCGCTACTATTCCCGCCGCCGCTTGACACCTACGTTCACGTCAGGTACCTGCAGCCTGTGTGCTGCATGGTGAGCTGGAGAACTATCTCTCTGATCCGTTGCTTGCCTACACTGGCCTTAGTTTATTTCTTTACTCAATTTCCTCACCCTAGAAGCACACGAAGTGCATGCTGTGTGCATGTTTAAGGTACAGGTCGGTGCCTTGAGTATCATGTACATACAATGTAATACTGCTATACTGGCAACAATAAAGAATGACACTTCCAATGGTGTACTGCCTTTTTTTCCCCGGAGCACACTATTATGTGTTCTCTCTTTTCTTTTCTCTCTCTCTCTCTTTCTTTCTCTCTCTCTCACGCACACACACACACACACACGCTCACTTGCTGCTCACTGCCAAAACTGGTCACGTGGGTCTCCCCGGGAGAGGGGAGAGAGACTCAAAAGGAATCTTGGAAAGATGGCTCAACTGGCTGTTGAACCGCCCAATGGCTGACACCCCCTGAAATCCCCCAAAACTCTGGGTGGACTTGAAAATGATCCCACTTATGGGCTCACCACACCTCAGTAAGTGGGTGAGGACAAAGTGCAGAAAATAGATTGACGGCATCAGGGTGTCCGGCCTGGGATCCAACTGCAGTTACCCCTCCCCCCCAGTGAAGGTAATACTTGCCAGTAGTGTGGGTGGCTAAATCAGAGTGGATCTGAGATATGCTTCACTACCACCATTGATTACACAAGATCTAGCCAGAGGCAGTCCATGGTTAACAGGTGTGTATACTTCAAATCAGGGAGTCGTAAAATACCGGGGTATTTTACGACTCTCTGCTTCAAATAGAAAGTACCGGTATATCAACTCTGGAACCAACAAAGGTGGCAGATACAACATTACACCTTCAAGCAGCCGAGCCCGTTGGCAACAGACCCAACACAATCAGTGATAAGTGTACCTACCAACCGAACTAGCTGGCATACCACGCACACACGTACTTGTACGCTGCCAGAAACTAATCATGTGGGCCTTCCCGGCGGAGTAAAGAGAGATTCAAAAGTAGTCTTGGAAAGAGTACTCACTATTGAACCGCCTAATGGCCGACACCCCCTGAAATCCCCACGCTATGGATGGACTTGGAAATGATCCCACTTTAATATGGGCTCACCACACCAGTTATGTGGGTGAGGATAAGGTGCAGAATAGGATTTTACAGCATCAAAGTATCCATCCTGGGATCCAATTGCATTTACCCCTGGCACCAGTGAAGATAGTGCTTGTCTTCACGGGTACTAGTGTGGCTGGCTATATCAGAGTTGACCTGATACTCGGGGAATCGTATTTTACGACTCCCTGCTGATAATTATAGGATGCGCTGGCGCCATTGATCACACCGCCAGAAGCAGTCCATTCTTTTGTCAACAGGTATGCATAAGAAAGGTGTTCGCTCCCCACACTGGAGCTCCGCCGACTTGACTTGACTGTAGTATGTACACGATTGTATACTTTGAATAGAATGTAAAAAGTCCCCAATGCTGTAGACAGCCAGCTGTTTCAGCCATAAAAGGCCTCATCAGTATAGATAGAAGCTTTTTAGAGTAAGCCGAGTTGCCAGCCATGGTGCAAAGGTGGCACCAGAGACATTAAAACAACTCGTTGCTCCAGTGCCAGCGTGCTCAAACTAGGAAAGGTAGCGAGCGAAGCGTAATGCAGCAGCACCAAAGCAGCCTACTGAGAGTACTCAACAAGACAAATACCGAGGAGCAAGATATCCAATGCTGTAAACAGCAAGCTGTTTCGGCCATAAAAGGCCTCACCAGTACAGCTACGAGCTTTAAGTAAGCCGAGTTGCCAGCGATGGTGCAAAGGTGGCACCACAGACTCGTTGCAGAAAGTACATGGACCCTGAAAATAACAAAGGTGGCAGGCACAACAATACACCTTCAAGTGGGCGAGCCTGATGGCAACAGACCCAGCCTCTATCTGGAATATGTGCATCCACCGACAGAACTAGCTGGCACCCCCACCCACACCACACACACGTACCCCCCCCCCCCCCCCCCACCACCCACATACCACTATAGTAGTGGTATTCCAACATATAACTTCACTTCAATCCAGCGCAGCTGTGTGTTGGCCGACTGCAGAGGCCAAGAAGAAAGGAGACAGCATAGGCAGAAGCAGCAGCCTGGTTGGTGACCAGCACCGAGAAACAAAACTAGCATGTGATTGGGAGCCGGGTAGCCAACAATGCACTGAAAATAGCCTACAAAATGGAAATGAGGCAAAATACTAAAATACCCAAGCATTCAGCAGGTTTGTTTCCAAGGAACTGAGCAGCATGTGGGCACAAGCAGGGATATTCAACGCTAAAATTAGAATGGGATATATTTTCTAAAAGAATTTTAAACCAGGATGAGCTCAAGTGACACTAATAATATTGTACGAAACCCGCGGAAGATGTGAACTTTTATTTGAATCCCGACAACACGGGCCGTATTATGCTACTGGGCAGCAAGAAAGCAATAAAAAAGAGTTGCACACCAGGACCGGTGAGAATAATATAGCACAGTTAAAAGAATGTTCGAGTGGTCAAACATAACTAAAGGAGAATGATGATGGAGAATGGTTATAATCCTGTAATGTAGAGCATGACCGCACGCGGGTAGTCGTCGGCCATAGCCGGAGCACTATGACTGTGGCAGCGGATAGTTGAACATTCGAAAGTCATTCTCGAACAGCTTGACAAGCTGCTGCCGATGATCCTCTGGCAAGCTTAGAAACATGGCGCGCACTTTATCTAAACTCGCAGGCTTGTAATAGCTCTGCGGTGAAGGGAAAGCCACCCTTTTGCTGGCATTCACTTGGCGAATAAGAAAGTTGGCCTCGGCCTCGAGATTCTCGTAAGCGCCAAAAAAGTCATAGTTGACTACACACGGTTGACAAAGGTTTTCCACCGACATCCAGTGTTCGTTGTAACGTTCCGGGCTAGAGTCGAATAGAGAGCGAGCAAACTCATCGAAAGTTACATCATCGCCTCGAGTGGATTCCGGTGGATTGGCGCGGTATTTCTTGATAATGGGCACACCGAAACGCAGCTGGAAGTCCTTGATCTCGCGGAACTTGTTGATGAACGCCGAGACTAGACGGCTGACTGGCTCACGTACAAAGGTGAACTTGTAGTAGGTGCGAAGACGTTTCTCAATCTCAGCCTCTGGATAGTTACTGAGAAACTTGACATCCCTCATGTGATCGAGAACGCCGTCATTGGGATGTATGGCCTTCTCATCAAGCACTTTCAGAATCTTCTTCCAATTGGCACATGCGATTTTCGGTGTGTAGCAGTACAGGAACTTGTACTTGTCACTGACCAACAGGTGCTTCAACAGGTTGTGGCGCTTCACTGGTGATAGCGTCTTCCAGGTCCCGTGCGGGCCTGTTTTGTCACAGAAACCTTTCAGATGCGATAGACGTTCTTCCTGGAAAGACTGCATGCAAAACAAAACCCGAGATGAACACAAACAACGGAGTCTTGGGTAGCGGTTCAATTGAAGAGGATAAAAAGCAACCGTCCTCTGTTATTTAGAGAGCATTTGAAAAAAAACTCTAGGCTGTTTCTTGAAACATGACTCCTCTACCCCCCCCCCCCCCCCTAAACAATACACACACGCTCTTTCTCCAAATGTAAAGTTCTCTCTCTCTCTCTCTCTCTCTCTCTCTCTCTCTCTCTCTTTCTCTCTCTCTCTCTCTCTCTCTCTCTCTCTCTCTCTCTCTCTCTCTCTCTCTCTCTCTCTCTCTCTCTCTCCCTCTCTCTTCCCTCACCTGAATAGCTCCATCTTGGCTTGTATCATGGGAAGATTTCACCAGCTTCAAATACTCTGCCTTCGTCATCTTGAGGTTTTTTGACGTTTTCGCGGCAGCTTTAGTTGCAGGCTTTTCCATCACTTGAGTCGATTCTGTACTCTTCTCCTCGACGTCACCACCAATACCACCCGCATTGTCTGTAACACATGAACACAGTGCCATAGATAACATAGCATAAGACTAGGTGATGTGCAATGTAGTATGGTCGGAAGTACAACCTGCGTGAAATTGCGTGACAAGAGTTGCGTTAACATCTTTTGTTAGAGAGGTTCTGCACGACGAAAATTCGAACGAAGTTTCGCGACAGGCCTTGCGAAAATGCGTATGACTTTTCGCACGAACTTTGTGTTCTGCACATTTTCGTAGTTAGCACTCGCCAAGTACGTTAAGTGCACGTACGCCATGGCCCAATCTCACGAAACTTCCTACGAAAGTTCATTTCGCGTTCCCTGCAAGTTTCGCGTCCAAAGTTGCGAAAGTTCGTGCGAAGTTTCTCACTTCGTGACGTAGAGCGAAAGTTAGTACACATTTTCGTTTTGCTGAACCTCTCTGTTATTTCCACGGAAACTTTATAGATACGTCTTTTAGGAATCCATTACGATATGTTTTAGCGGGTTCGGCCAGATCTGCAACGCCTCGAGACTGTTGTTGATATCTGTGTTGCGTGATACATGTACTAGTATGCGTATGCACGCTGGAGTTCGTTTAGCTGTTGATGCTATCCCATCCAGGCTTCAGAGTTCGCAAGAAGTCCAAACGGAGTCCAAGCAGAGTTCTCATGCAAGATTCATGCACCTATGTTATTGAAACGTACACCAGTTTTGGCACATACATATTGCGTAGATGAAGTGCGCATGATCCAGCACCTACTGTTCCACACACAGATATCAGTGAAAGTAGGAAAGGCAACTGCCAATCCGTTTCTCAGCACCATCGGCACCCCCCCCCCCCCCCCCCCCCAGGGAGATGGCCTGAGCCCTGTTCTTTTTATTTGTTACCTGGAGGCAGCACTGCGCCAAGTGAGAGCAAACCTTCCCGAACGCCCTTTCGCCGACCTTCACATACCCGGAGAAACAGGTTACGCCGATGATGTGACGTTGTACTCAACCAGTGAGAAGTGGCTGAAGCGAAGCCTCCCCATCATTAGCGCAGAACTCGGGGATTGGTCCCTTACAGTAAACGAGACCAAGACCGAATTCTTGCATCTGACATCAACTTCAGACTCCTGGCGGTCCAGCAGGCAGCTAGGGTCCCTCATTGGCGACAGTGAGGACCTGGAGCGGAGGAAAGACCTCGCTTCGAGTGCATACGGCAGGATGTATAGCCTCTGGCTGAGGCGTGGGAAGGTCAGTGAGCAGAGGCGCATCCGACTGCATAATGCCCTGGTTCTGCCCGTTCTTTTGTATAACTGCGGCGCATGTGGGGCTCACGGCAGCACAAGCAGAATCGCTTAACGTTTTCCACCAGAAGCAGCTCCGACGGCTCATTGGCATAGTCTACCCAGCCAGGATCAAATACTGAGCTGTATGAGAGGTGCAACACGGAACCACTATCTGACATCGTGGACAGGAGAAGATGGCAGCTAACCGGCCATATTCTCCGTATGGACAGGGATGCGCCGCCATGGATCGCGCTGACGGGCTATTTTGCAGGAGATGCCAAGGCTGGGCGTGGACGTCCAAGGACATCCATTGCGACGCGCATCACAAGCAACTTACAGAGGAGGAACATCGACTTGAAGCGCAGCAATCAGCTGGGGAATGTGAGGGCCATCGCTCTGGACAAGCTTACATGGGGAAATCTGGCCGACAATCCATGATCTGGCGTCACAGGTCATCAGTGCACCGTGTTAATAATTATCTTGATAATGGAATTTGATCATAGGAGATAGGACAGAAGCGGAACGTATAATTATGCCCACATAATTATATTATTACGCGTGCTGTGGTATTATTATTATTATTGTAGAAAGGAAAAAGGCATTATGGATACGAGTTAAGAGTAACTCTCCATCACTGTAACATCATCGTCCAGTAACAATCGATATTCTTTGTTCCGTTGGGACTGTAGCTTTTGCTCGTTTTCGTTGCGCTTACCTTCCCCTCTTTGGTCTATCCATAACCTTGAACCTTCCAAGTTGGAAGGCTGTTGGATAGCGCTACGGAGATGTGTTGAAGCTAGGTGTCAGGACGTCAAATGTCTCAGTACTCTGTCAGTTTTGTGCCTAGTTATTGCACTTTCTGACTGTATAAATTATCATGTTACAGTGATGGAGAGTTACTCTTAACTCGTATCCATAATGTCTTTTTCCTTTCTACATTTATTTATGGCTCAACATCCAAGTTTCAAATTATTATTATTATTATTATTATTGATTCAAACAAGTTTTCGTACAACACTCATCAGGAATCGTCGTTGTACTAAAGGACACTGAAACAAAAATTGAACTATTATAGAAAATCTAAGTTACAGAAATAACACTAAGAGCAACAACAGTGAAATTTACAAGTGTGAATTTTAACAATCAAAGCGAGAAATGAACAAAGGAGAAAGGAAGGAAAGACAACGTGATAACACATAACAGCAGTACATTACACCTAGAACATTAACGGCCAAGCTTGGCCGCACTAAACACGACACGTTACTTAAACAATTTCAACCCAATTATACTATCTTTCTGTACACACAAAGTAACGTGTCGTGTTTAGTGCGGCCAAGCTTGGCCGTTAATGTTCTAGGTGTAATGTACTGCTGTTATGTGTTATCACGTTGTCTTTCCTTCCTTTCTCCTTTGTTCATTTCTCGCTTTGATTGTTAAAATTCACACTTGTAAATTTCACTGTTGTTGCTCTTAGTGTTATTTCTGTAACTTAGATTTTCTATAATAGTTCAATTTTTGTTTCAGTGTCCTTTAGTACAACGACGATTCCTGATGAGTGTTGTACGAAAACTTGTTTGAATCCATATATTTTTTCCCTACACCATTTCTTCATATTATTATTATTATTATTATTATTAACTGGTTTGAGGGAAAGAGACAAACGGGATTATTATTATTATTATTATTATTTAATAAGAATGGCGTAACTCCTCTGTAGCCTTGTCATGATTTTTAAATGTTCACCGCCCACGGCCGCACAAAGTCCTTGGCTACAAAAAAATTAAAATCTCTCCAAATCTCTCCAAACCAAACTTCAAATTCCTTTCCAAATTTTCGCCCAAGAGGGCATCTTCAGGGATATGTGACTCCTGTGAACAAAACAACAATATAACTACAGAAAACCCACAAAGGTCAAAAAGAATGGTTTCACCAATTACAGAAACATACGTTGTAACGCTGCGTTTCATGCACGTAGCTAAATGCTAAGGCAATCATCAGACAACTAAGCGGGATAGCTTGTTCTTATTGTGGGGGATACGCATGGGTATGTAGAGGAGGTGTGAGTTATCAATGCAGGGCATGCATGGGAAGAGCGAGTGATAATAATTACATCACTGGATGGGCATGCGCAGTAGGCGCGAACTATGCATGGAGCGTGCAGAGGCGGAGAAACCACCAGGCACGACAAGGGTAAGCCATGGGGGCACTGGGCAGGGGGTGTGATGTGTGGCGGTGGAAGCACACTGTGGTGTCCACATTCAACAGCCGCGGGTATTCAGAGGATGTGGCGGTGATAGTGGTAGCACGCGGTAACTACAGAAAAAGGTAGTAATAATAACGTGGCAATATACCGGGAACATCATAACTAGTGCTAAGAATTGAGACTAAGATTGTAGATAATGTCACATATTCAGAAACAAAAACAGAACCTACCCACAATATCACACGCCAGATAATAGCCTAAAAAAACAAATGTCTCAACTTGCAAGATCTCAAGTCAGGTGATGATGGGTCAGCGTGAAGTGCATGTCTCAACTGGTGTGATCGCCAATTAGATGTGAAGGTGAAGAGGCCAGAAAGAGAGAGAAAGAGACAGAGGCAGAGAAAGATAGTGTGTGTATGTATGTGATTGTGTGTGTGTGTGTGTGCACGTGTGTGTGTGTGTGTGTGTGTGTGTGTGTGTGTGTGTGTGTGTGTGTGTGTGTGTGTGTGTGTGTGTGTGTGTGTGTGTGTGTGTGCGTGCGCTGACCCATCATCACCTGACTTGAGATCTTGCAAGTTGAGACATTTGTTTTTTTAGGCTATTATCTGGCGTGTGATATTGTGGGTAGGTTCTGTTTTTGTTTCTGAATATGTGACATTATCTACAATCTTAGTCTCAATTCTTAGCACTAGTTATGATGTTCCCGGTATATTGCCACGTTATTATTACTACCTTTTCTGTAGTTATATTGTTGTTTTGTTCACAGGAGTCACATATCCCTGAAGATGCCCTCTTGGGCGAAAATTTGGAAAGGAATTTGAAGTTTGGTTTAGAGAGATTGGGAGAGATTTTAATTTTTTTTTGTAGCCAAGGACTTTGTGCGGCCGTGGGCGGTGAACATTTTAAAATTATTATTATTATTATTGCGTAGTTGTGGCAATCATAGGATATGAATGACAACAACGACACACACACACACACACACACACACACACACACGCACACACAAATGAAGATATTTTGTTCTCATATATTAAAACATACACCGCACTTGTACGTACTGATCATGAACTTTCGAACTATGCATACGAATTTCGGATTAATTTTTTATTGGGGCTTGCATTCACAGCACAGTACAATGTATGGCGATTACCTTCTAAAAACTGGATCGACTTGCTCGGTGCCTCACTTGAGGAAGAAAACGAGTCAGAGAAATATGCGTAGGCAATGAACAATGCCAGCAACACGCCGACGACGACCGACGGTGTTTTACGGGTGTACCCTACCAGCTTCATTCTTCATCAGAAAATCTAGAGAGTGGCCAGAGTTACATGTAGGGCATATCTGGAGAAGGGACCTGTAACCATCAGGGTGAGTTGAGAATGATGCCGCAAATGGACTCCATCAAACTCAAAGACAGTGATAATGCGTAGACAAAAGAAAACTTATTGAAGAATGCATTCTGCATTGTCTTTTCGATGGACAACGCGACAGCATGCGCGTGCAGGCCAGGATCTAGGATCGTTTCTGTTTGCGTTGACGTGCACGTGCACGTTGCTGGCATGACGTCACAGAATTATATGCATGAACGGAAGTGACTCGACTTGCGATATCGGAGGCCAAAGCTAAAGCCGCAGCGGCCAGCAAGGGGGTTAACACTACAACAGGTAAAGGGCAAAGACCATGAAGGAAGATGTCAATCGACCAGTAAAGAAAGCTGCTGTAGTAGTTACGATTGTAGTTCTTCGTCCCGACTGAGAGGGCACCGCGAATTTCGTTTCTAGATCAGAGATACAAGTACAACAATTGTATTATTGTACATGTATGACCACTGTGTGAAGTTGAGAGAAGTGAAGTTTAACACTTCAACAAGTCAGTGTTTAAAAAAAAGTCAGACTACAGAAACGGTGGCGGCTAGCTATGAGATGCTGAAGAAAGAAAAGATAACGGTTTTGAAGGTAGGCATCATGCTTGCCTAGCTAAGTAGGCGTGCAGATGGAATAGCCGCTAAGCGGGTGGCTACATTTCTGAAGGCATAGCCAGAACCAGGGAGTAGTATTGTACTAGTACTACAGTGCGTATCGGTTATAGCGTGGTCGTGTAAAACTAAAAGAATACAGTCATGTAGTAGCAGTGCGATTTTTCACACTTCCTCAAGCGTGACAGCCGCCATTCCTCCGCGGGCCGAGTATGGCGTCTCGTTCCTTGAAAATCAGCTGGTGCCTGGTGGCAGAATCATTACACATTCTGTGACATAGTGTAGAAGGTGGTTTCAGCGCTGCACACTGCAGTGCAGTCCCTTGAACTGAGCGCACTTGCTCGGAGCTGGATTCAAGGCGTTCAAGCCATTTTTTGTTTCCTCCTATCCACTTGCCAATCCAGCTTAGCAGGCCATGGAGGCACAACAAACTGAAAACAGCATTGCAGGCCATAGCTTCGATGTGCCAGCCTGGAAGGACCACTTCTTTAGGCAACGTAGCGCAAACTACGCGCCTAGTCTAGGCGTGCATACTGCCTGGCGACCGAAATTTCGGCGGAGAGGAACTGCTCGCACCAGCACAACCGTGAGTTCTCTTCCAAGCTCGAAGAGCGTTGCCGGTCCTGTACTTTGCATTTCGTATTCGTCCTTTGTATTGTATTGTATTCTTTCATCTTCGTTTCTTTATCTTCCAACGTGTGTCCAGATATGAGGCTGTGTTTTAGCCGCTATACGACGGAATACGTTCTGTACAAGGCAACCAGTTTGTCCTGCCTGGCTACTCAGCTCACCACAAAGCGGGTAAGGGGCTATCCGGCATTATCGATAATTTTCACGAGGAAAAAGTTCAGTTAGGATCCTCCGTCCACGCTGGCGGAATGGAACGTGCTTCTTGGAGAAGTCGACAAAGCCCTGCTCCGCGAAAAACTCCAAGGAAGCTGTTGCATGTACAAGGTTCATGACTTTGCCGACGACAGCAACATGAAGCAAGGCGAAGACCGTCACATGGTTGGCGTTCACACGTGGGGTGAAACGAGCAACCGCCCGGTCGGGTACGTGTTGGAAAATACCCTTGTGCAGTCCGGTAGTGGAGGAAACCAGGCATATCTGTCGATTTTCAGGTATTGAAGGGCATAATAATTATGGTGTGGCAGAAGTATGCGGAGTCGTGGGAGATAGCGCGTCTACCCAGTCAGGCAGCAGGAAAGGCCATGCAGCTGAGCTTGGTGGGCTTTTCAAAAGCAACACCATATTTATTGGCTGCTACCTTCACATCCTGAACATAGCGTAATGTTAAGGCCGATGGCTTTGGACAGCGTGGCAGCATGATGAGCTTCCACCTGTTTCAGCTGCAATACAAGGTTGGGTACGTACACCACCAGAAGCCAAGCTACTACAAGGCACTGTACGTCCGTGAGGGAGTTCTATCAAGACCACCTCCACACACAGGAGTTTGTGAAAAACTCGCTAGATGCACATCCATGCAAACTTGGAGTGGTGGTCGAAGTACGGCAAGGCATGTCTGGAGCTTGGCAAGCGCATCCTGAGGTTTATTACTTTTATATGAATTCGTTTAGAGCAATTCTGCCGTCTCACCAGATGAAATCCTTCGGTTCCTACTAAGAACGGATAAAATATTATGAATGTAGAAAAGGAAAGGGACATTATGGATAGAGTTAAGAGTAACTGTCCACCACTGTAACTAGATACTATAATTATCAGAGTATAAAAATATTATGAGAGAAGGAAATACTATAGAGAGGTTTCGCTCTACGTAATTACGTATGAAAATCCGTATGTCGTACGCGCCGGGGAGCAAGGGCAACTTTCATACGTAAATCTCTCTACAGGAGAAATCAGGTAAAGCGAAACCCAGCAGCGCTGATTTTTATGTATGAAAATTAGGTGCAGTTCCTACGTTATTTTCATACGTAATTCCGTAGAGCGGAACCTCCCTACTATGGGAGAAGGAAAATAATATTAAAAAGAATCATAACAATGTTATGATTCTTGAAATTCTCATGTCATGAGAATTTCAAAAGTATATAATTCAACTGGATGTGTGTATGTGTATGCTTGTGCGTGTCTAGGTTCCTTCCAAAGAAGGACTCCCACTTTTCAGTCTGGGAGGACCTCATTCAAATGGCCTCTAATGACATTATTCACGGTTGCCGAGCGGACAGTCTTGCTGGAGCTACTAAACAGGCTCATCATGCCTGGCCTCCAGAAGTGCCAGAGCGGCGATGTTGTGCGAGCTGCAATGCAGCTCTGGGTACTTGGCAAGAATGTGGCCATCGTAATGTCATCAGAGATATGCTGGTGGCTGAGCTGATGCGTCGTCACAGTGACTATGCCATGCCTCTGACAGCTCAAGCCAAGGCCAAGCTGGAGCCAGACACCGCCACACATTTTGCCACACATTTCTAAGAACCTATGCTGGATGCTGTTATTCATGCTGCATTTGAGAAGCACCCCACTAGGTGAGACTTGGATGGAGAGCCAAGGTTTAATTTAAATTCAGGTCGTTGAATGTCAGTAACACATCAGTCAGTATTGTGCTAGCTGTTGCATCATCTGACTACACAACATTTTACTTATAACTGTTAGTGTTGGACACAAACTACGGATAACATGTAACATTTTTGTGACTTTGTCCTTTCTTTTTAAATTTACTCCACTAGGTGGCTTCGCATTCCTCTTTACTTCTATTCGCCATGGGTGCTGATACAGCCCATAGTCATCTATTCTACACTGGCGGGCATATCTCCGGGTCAACGCTATTCCTGTCCAGGTTTCCACCTTCACTGAAGGCGCACCACCAACTGTCTCTGCCCGAGACAGTTGCTGGCCCTTGCTCATGATGAGCAAGTGCCAGCCAAGTACGATGAGTTGTTGCAGCGATGTTGAACGGCAGTTCAACATCGCGGATATTAATTTTATATCCATCCAAACGAAAGTGAACTATCCAAGCAGGCAAGCCATTTGTTTGTGGAGAATGTGCTGCACTCCACACCTGCTCCCTCCAACTGTATCAGTTCATGTCAGCTCGTAGCCGAAAGTCCGTCCGTGTTACGAAGAATGCCATGGAGCATGTTGCAAGGCAAATGAAAGAATATGCTGCCACTGTAACGCCTGCGGAGCGACTCAATAAAGCCAGAGCACAGATGAAGCTACTCCAAGCCAAACAGTAACTGCCCGTACCCTCACCGCTGCCGAAACATACAGCAGTGTTTCGTCCAGGCATCGCGCACGGTCAGCTGATGAGCACAAGCAGAGAATGGCTGCCTCAGGAGAAGAAGGCATGGGGCATGGTGTGGCCCACGATCCAGGCTCACGGAGATCCGCAGCAATTCAGGAGAGGGCAGCGGCACGAAATTTCCCAGCAACTACCGCAAGCAGCAGAGTTAGTGAAACTGAGGAGCAGAGCTAGCTCCAGGTAAGAGCCGCGCACAGTTTTTCTTTCTTTCTTGTGCAGATAAACTGAGCCGTCCACCTCTCCACACTGCGCTCTTGTTTTTTGCCCACACCACACCCTAGCGAGGAAGTTCGTTCTTGGGTAGATGTTCCATGTCCTCCAGACAGCTGTTTCGCTCATTAAGAGCTCCTCAGTGGACGTAGATAACGAATGAATAGCAGATAAAGGAATGAGTATATTTAGAGGGTAAAGTGGCGCAATTGCGTACTTTCTACATAGAAAAGTGGCCTACCCAAAGAAGTTGAAGGTGGCGTGGAAAGTTCTAAAGGTGATAACAAAATGCACAGTGCTGCTGGAACATGCATGCAGATAGCGCTATAATTTAGACAAGTGCGTGAAGCAGACAATCTATTAGAAGTTCGCACTAACGTTGCCACACATACATGCATAATGATAGATTGAAGTAACGGTCCCATAGTGACGTGATGACGAGGTGAGAGAAACGGAGCGCCGTGAGCGCAGTGTGGATAGGTGGACGGTTCAGTTTATTTTCAAATGGCCGAGTGTGTCGCTACTTCGGAGTTATTTCTTGTGCAGAACTAAAAAATTGCTGTCATGAGCTACCGCTTGTCGCGCGCAAGCAAGATGAGCTTTGCTGTTCAAAATGTTCGTTTGTACCCGTTTCTTTGTCGATTTTGACAGTTGATGGCTTAAATTTTAAACTTTTGTTTACATCTTGCCGTGAAGTTGTCCGAGCCATTTTTCCGTTTTGGACCCTCACTCGCCATCAAGTGCGGCGGAAGCGCATAGAGTTTTCACTCTCCCGTAATACTGAAATCCGGTCGGAATAAAAAAAAAAACTCTCGGACAAATCCTTACAATGGGCATTGAGTGTATGTTCCCAGAGTTTCAAAGACCTAGCTGAAAGCATTGGTACAAATGAACACTTTGAATGCACCCCACTTTCAAGGCTTTCTCAAATATCGCATGATCGCATGTGCACGATTCTGGCATGCTGGCTGGCTCGCGTGACAGCGACCTGTCCAATATGGCGCCCGCGCTTTTGTACTCGGCTGTGAGCCCTGAATTTTGGTGTCGGCATATAAGCCCATGCCCGAGTATAAGCCCACCGAAATGTCCTTGTGAGATAGATAAGCCCATGGGCTTATCCGCGGGATTCTACGGTATGCAAATCATCAGCATGATCATGGCAGATAGTTGGACTGCGCCCACACCAGGGAGCCCAACACATACATAACGTTATGTGTAGGGCTCCCTGGCCCACACTAGCCTTCGTTGTGCAATGTCATAGTACACAGCGTACTTTATTTTTAAAAACATGTGATGTGAGCTTTCTCCATCCGAGACCCTGTATTATATATAGTATGCAGAGTTGCACACTCGTGGAAGCTTCTTTATTTTTGCTATCATACAAGAACTAGAGGAGTCCAATGCTCGTTTGTTAGTTGGCTAGGGGACCCGTAAAAGTCTCGATATATAGCCTTGTATTGTGTAGTGTGAATTGCCAGACACTTTAGGCATTCCTCAAGCGTGACGCCGTGCAGAAGCGCAGCTTCTAGCCAGCTTTAGCATGTACGCCAGTCCTGGGAATAGAATGGTATAACATGGGGAGTCGAGGTTGACATGGGCAACCAAATTCTTTTACTAAAATATCCGAGGAAATCTTCCTGTCTCAATCAGTGTTGTGAAAATTAATGTTAAAAAATAATTTACTTTAAAAAGCGAAGGTACGTATTAGGTCGCAAGTATCTACGCAAACGCGCACATCCAGTCAAATGAGGCACTTGTCATCATCAAGTATCCGAACGTTTTCGGTCCCTTCTCATCAAGGATTGTACAGGGAATGGCTCAAGTGAAGATGATGAGATAACAACACTCGTGACAAGGTGGAAAATTATCAAGTTCAGAACGACGCAAAAAGAAAAATAATAATAGTGACAACAACATAGTGAGCAAATTAAGTAACATTGTTAACACCTCGACGAGGAGGATTTGGGACAGTGTGTGCGTTCAGTGTGAAGAAGGACATTCTACTTACCCTTAGTAAAAGCAACCTTATCTATTTCTTTCAATGCCGACAATGTGAAGATCGGTATGTAGGTAGAACCCTTCAGAACCTGGGTGCGCGCATTCATCAACATGTGCCGTCAAGTTTTAATCCGCTTGATGCGCGCGAGAGTTGTCCTCGCCGCGGTCGTCCTCCAAAATGTGCTGTCCAGTCCATTGGTGGACCTTCCTCTTCACGTGAAGATGTGACTGCATGCCCTTCCTCCTCTGCGTGTTTAGGGCAGGGGCCAGCTCAGACAGCGTGAAAGACGGTGCAAGACGGATACGTAAACCACCGAAACTGACAAGGGATCTGTCGGTGTCGGGAAGGGTTACGCGAAGCCAAGTGAAAATACGGACTGGTGAGGACGCACGTACAATGACAAGTGACAACAACAGTGAATATTCGAAAACGTGGTAGACTGCGAAAACAAACCTCGACATCGGGCACCGGACAAGTTGGAGTAAGAAGCTCAACCGAAAACCGCAATGGAGGAGACGTAGCTGAAAGGACACTGGGCATGGCACACACAACGAACAATGTCAGGAAACGTGGAAGGCCGCGGAAACAGTAAGAGACGGATAGTGGTCGTGGAGTCGGTGTCGAAAATCGCAAACCGGGCTTCAATTCAAAAAAGTATTGACGACATGTAGGAGCTGATATAGATTAGCATGCTCAAAGGATACAACTGCATAGCTCTAGCTGTTCTCGTTCTTAGATCACCCACTGCAAGGTGATATCGTTGCATTTATAAAGTGCTGTACATTGTTACACACTGATACAACAATGCTTGTGTAGTATATTATAATAATTATTATGTGTGAGCATCCAAGTGAAATAATGAAGCCCATATTGTGACTGTCGTTTCGTTTGAGGGGGGAGGGAGGGGGGTCAGGCCCGAAACTAACGGTCTTCGTTTCGGGGGCTTCTGCGAACTTTTGCGATGGTCCCTTAGAAGCTTTGTATATACGTAAGTTAGATCCTGAACTTTGTGTACAGAAAGAGAATGTGTTGTCGCTACAATTGTTTGGTGTTACTCCTCGTCGAGGTGATAACAATGTAGCTTAATTTGCTCACTATTATTATTTTCCTTAGAAATTGGTGTCGTCCTGAACTTGATAGTTGTCCACCTTGTCACGAGTGTTGTTATCTCATTATCTTTACGCTATCTAAGTTTCAGTCTTTTCAACTTGAGCCATTCCCTGTACAATCCTTGATGAGAAGGGACCGAAAACGTTCGGATACTTGATGACAAGTGCTTTAATTTGACTGGATGTGTATGTTTGCGTGGATACTTGCGACCTAATACGTACCTTCGTTTTTTAAAGTATTATCCGCCTCCGACCTCTTTTAATAATTCACTTCCGTTATTTTACTTCCAGTCTAGCGAGGTCAGGGGTTGTGGACAGTTCTGGCCTGAGAAATCCGACTTCATAAATACAAAATAGATTAAAAATACTTGTTGCACCGTGCTCAAGTGAGCAGAGTGGTGCTTATGAACGTAGGAAAGAGCTTTCCTACGGAAACCCGAGATTTACGTATGAAAGTTGCCCTTGCTCCCCGAAGACATGGATTTTAATTACATTTTATTAGGAGAAAAACAAGAGGTTGCACATAACGAAAAATTCGGCACATGAGGCAACCACGAAAAAGGCTACGAGAATCGGTTGATTCGGAGGTTGCACAAAGGGGGCAAAGTTTCTCTCCCGAAAATGCGTGGCAGTACGGTGACTGCAACTAAACTAGCTGTTTTGTTTTCCCTGTTCAATGCATGAAACACGGCAATCCACCAACGCAACAAGAATTTTCCAAAATATTCAGAAGCTACTTTTCTCACTTCATTTTCCAAAATATTCAGAAGCTACTTTTCTCACTTCATACTACTACTGTTTACAGTTTCAAAATCTATTTTCCATGTTACATGCAAACACACAATGCTTTTAAGAAACACAATTGAATATTCTAAAACATAAAAATAAAGGAATAGGTGAAATTTGCTGTACAAAAAAACTAGTGCAATAATTTTAGTGCTTCAACAGGGGATTTTTTAAATACAAAACAGGCATAATGATGGCGGGGGGGGGGGGGGGGGGTCTCTGCGGAATTCTGTACAAATAGCAATGTGGTGGGAGAGAGTGGGCGAGTAGCGAAGGAAGATGATAGGGCAGCTTGATAATGGACACGGCACACTGGAGTGGTATCTAACTCCTTCCACTCAACGCCACTACACCAGCCGAGCGAGCTGGTCAACAAATCGCTGGGCATTGACAAGTTCACTTGTGCCGTATGAGATATGCTTGCTGCCGTTCGACCTCTGTTCACAACAGCAATTAACAGGTGCATATAGTTTGTTTAATATGCAAAGAATTTTTTCACCAACAGCCTAGCTGGGTGACTATGACTCGTCCACATTCTTCAAGAAACTTGAAAGCGAGACCTAAAAGTACTCACTTTCTCCCCTAAACCATGCACAGGTTTGCTTTCTCTAGCACAGTTCTACAGTAGCTTACACAATAGGCACTGCTTCAGGGCGATAAGAATTGCCCACAGAATTGCTTACCTTGCAAAAATCTTGCAAATTCTGGTACTCAATATAGTTGCCGCCGCCAACAACAAACACAACAGCCTGAATAGCACAGCAAAGGCAAAGGCAATATTTACAGTCAAGCCATTATTTATTTTCAACAATCTTCAATACAATTCAGTCTGACAATGATCCTGCACCACAGCTGTGACAGGCTATATGGCAAAGTCCCTTTTGAAAGGTGCATTGAGTGTCCACAAACTCTACTCATTGCCTAAGAAAGCAATACTCGTCACGTCCTCATCGGTCAATGATTCAATACGGCAGTAGTAGACCTTCTAGCATAAGGTCCTACTAATAATAGTTTGACTGGGTTCAAAATTTCACTCCACAATGCACACCCGCTTTACTTTGTCGTTGCTCACTCCCAGAAACTGGTCACGTGGGTCTTCCTTTGGGCGAGGGAATAGAGATTCAGGAGAGATCTTGGAAAGATGACTCAATTGACGGCATCAGAGGCATCTGCCCGGGGATCCAAGTGCATTTACCCCTGTCCCCAGTGAATGGTTGCGTTACCGTGGATTGCTATAAATAAGAGTGGATCTAATATAGGCTTCAGTAGCACCATCCATTACTTAAAATGCTAATGACACAATCTATCCATGTTAACTATGGTGCATGTCACACCAACAGGGCAACAGCTACAAACAGACCTACACATAATAATTATGATATTATTATAGGCTCTGTCCACATGGAAATGTACCCACCTCTCTGAACGGTGCGCGGGATTTAGGTGCACTGTCAGCTTGTCTGAGTACTTTGGGATCCAGGTAGCGATAATCTTCAATTTCCTGAACCACAACAACGATGACAAGCAATATAGCAAGATTGTTGGGGATGAGAATGGGAACATAGCATACCAACACGCGTCAGACAGACACCACACCCTCGATCCAGAGAACAGGATAATGTGTATTGTGTAATGAATATTATGGCAAGACCATGCAAAACTCCAACATCAGAAGGCAGCCCCAAACATAGCCTGCCAATAGACCAGTCTCATCAATAGCTTGACTCTCCACACGATGGCACACCAGCAAAGGTCAAGCCAGAAAATCCACCACACACACACACACACACACACACACACACACACACACACACACACACACACACACACACACACACACACACACACGTATGAGACCAGTCGGACGATTTGAAATCTAATGTACACAACAGAACTGAGTACTTACCGTAGAGTGGCTCATATCCATGAGGGATTCTACGACGCGGGTGACTGGCAAGTTCTGAGAGAGGAGAGACGACGACGACGACAGGAGTACAATGGTATGGTAAATAACTAAACTACTTCAGAGTATAAGCAAGTGTCAGAGAAGTTACTCTTCTTGCACTAAAAATACATGCACTGAAGTGCTGTCCCAGAGCCTTGTTTTGTAAAACAACAACATGACGGTATGATGCAACTTCCCAATAACTGATACTCGGAGGGAAGACATTATCTGTTCTGTTCAGGGAAGTGCCCTAAACGACTGGATGCATTACAACAGGAATGGGAACAAGCAAATGTATCCTGAATGTGGACACGTGCCGTTGGTTGACAGAGGTGTGTGCTAAGGGATAAGGGAGGTGCTGTAGTGACTGTACACACATATTTACAGCATACATTGTACACGCACACAGAGAGTACAGACACTTTACAAAGAGCTCAGACCTGGCACAGGCAATTAATGCTTCACGAGACATGATGTCTTCAAATGCCTGGTTTAATCATTGCTCTACATTGACACATGCACGCTCACTGGACAATCACACATCCACACCACACTCCACAACTCACTGCACACAGACAACACGCCACACATGCACCCTGGACTCAGAGATGTGATAACCTGGCTAGAGTAATCTCAGCGCACTGGCCACAAGTGGCACGTGCTCGTCAGGGGATGCTTCTCTTCACCGTCCACAAAGACACAACAAAAGCTCTCAACAGGTACACAGGTACACACACACACACACACACACACACACACACGATCAACACACCAGGTGAATGCACTGTGCTACACACAACCATCCAGTAGCTCATTTCACTATTTCCGTCCACAGCACCATCAACAATACACAGTGTTCTCTGCCTACATCAATACAATGTGTTGATGTAGCATTGTTGTTTTTTATTGATGTAGCCTGTATTGATGCAGCATGTATATGTCATATACATGCTGCACACCATGAATGGCACATGAGAAAACCTGTGATGGGACTTTAAAGTGACCGGTAATGTCAAGATGAAACAATAATACCGTTACGATCAGGGAGTAGTAAAATACAGGGAGGTGACACGAGCATGTACGGCCAGTTTGACGATTGCCTCAGCACCGTTTTTACCCGGCGGGTGAGATTGGGGTACTATGGGTACCGAAGTGTGTAGACACGCGCGCGGATCAGGATTCTTTCGATCAGGGAGTAGTAAAATACCTACCGCCAAAGAGACTCCTACTGCAGCCCGTAAAAACTCAGCGCTGAGAATTTCCAACAATTGTCTGCCTTCACAAAGTTTGGTAGTCGACCAAACTACCACTATGTCAGGATAGAAGTCCAGCAAGAGTGGTATCACTTTGGGAGATATCCCTGCGTGCCGTAGATTTTTCCTGTGTCGATACAAGCTGTTTACGACGACGTAGCCTGCATTTCAATCCTTGACAAACTTAGGAACATTATTTTCATTCCGAAAAGTGAACTCCCGAATCTCTAGCATACCATAATATGAAATGCTCATCATCACAAAGAAGGTAGAGAAGTACTGGTTGATCACAACTGAGGAGAAATTAGTGCCGATCGTGTGGTGTCCTAGAGATTTTTTCGACTTCGAAATCGGTGCACTCGCTTTTCATCTCCAATCGTACACGTATTGTTCTCAAGGAAATCACCTTCGTTCTATTGCTCCATGCCGTCGATCGGGACGAATTTCGGAAGGGTGGTACTTTTCCATATGACGATGATACAGATGTATCACAAGAGCAAAACAAATGCTGTTCCATGAGATGGATAGACCTTTTCACGGAATTTAGTTCTCGACAAATACTCAAGATTGATTCAGCAGATCATCTTTTTTTGCGAAAGAAAAAAAAACAAGCGCGAGGCACCCATCAAGAATCACGATTAGTGGCGTGTCACCTCCCTGTATTTTACTACTCCCTCCCTGGTTACGATACTTTAGAACTGTTTTACTATTAGACCCGGCCGTGCCGATGTTTACACAACTACACTTGCATTCAATGCAGACCCAGTTTACATGTGCAGTTTTACTACCACTGTACCAGCTGCTTGGCCGAGTTCCCTGTACATCAACACTTCATAATTACTTGAAGTATTATTTTGTTACTTCATCATGCAATGTCCACTTCGTTTCACTTTTGATCGCACTAATATAACTCTAAGTCTCCACATCACTTCTTCCTCTACACTTCCACGTGTAGGTATTATAAGACAAAGGGAGAAAGAGCTAGTTGCAGGCTGCACGGTCTAAGCCTGTCCAGTACCGGTTACTAGCTCACACTACACGAGTACACCAAGAACAACACAAGCAGAGAAACACCACACAGACACATGAACTAACCTTATCTGTCACCACAAGATCCTTTACGCCTTTGATCATGGACTTCAGCGAGAAACTATGCAGAGAAAAAGAGCAAATGACCCATTGATTACCACTTCTCTTCATTTAGGGCCATGTTTGACGGGTAAAAAAAATAATTTGGAGAAGCACGGGTCTGCTACCGCGTGCGTGCGTGCGTGCGTGCACACACACACACACACACACACACACACACACACACACACACACACACACACACACTTGAGTTAGACATGGCTCAAACAAGCAGTGGATATGCAGAGCATTGCAGTATGCCAACTAACTAACTGCTCAACATGTTGACATGCTTTTACTCCAATCGAATTCTTCACACAGCACTGTACAGAAATTGCTACCAGCGGTCTCAATGTCACCATACATGTACATGTACTGACACGAGCACACCACTGTAACGTTAGAAAAGGCAGGCAGGAGAAAAAGGTTTGCTCTTAGTGGGCCATAAGGTCAGAATAGTAGGGAGAACAACTAGAACTACATGACTTCAAGACTGACATACACAGAATAAGTAGAAAAATTCGTCTGGAATTTAATTTCGTCTTTTTCGTCCAAGGAGCTTTCGGACTAAATAAATTAAATGCCGGACTAATGTCGATTTGTCCAGCATTTGAATACACTCTTACGATCCATGGACGAACTCCCTTTCTTTGGAGTTGGACGAAATTATTGACCGACGAAATGTTCTGCCTGTACAGTAGCTGGAAAGTACCGTTGATCGGCACCCTCTCTAATCGTGGCGGGCGGGGGATTAATAACGGTACTTCACGGTAGTTGAACACGCAAAATAACTTAGCATGCTCCACGCCAGGCCAAGAAGAAACAGGCAAGCAACCAACCTGCTGCTTGCTACTGATGAAACAGCTCGACTTGCCGGAGCAGCCATCTGGGAGAATGCCCTGAACACATACACACACACACACACATACACATACACACACACACACACACACACACACACACACACACACACACACAGCCATAAAATGCACTTGGAAATTGGACTTCAGCTGAAACTAAGAATTTTTTAAGTCACAAGCTCAGTATACGAAACAACTTCAGCAAGACAGCTTACTCCCCCTTGAAATACATCTTCATCCCAGAAAAAGTCTGAAATAAGACTATGTCGCCAACAGACTAGTCCATGTAGTACAAAGAGCTCAGACCTGGCACAGGCAATTAATGCTTCACGAGACATGAGAATGTCTTCAAATGCCTGGTTTAATCATTGCTCTACATTGACACATGCACGCTCACTGGACAATCACACATCCACACCACACTCCACAAACTCACCGCACACAGACAACACGCCAAAACACATGCACCCTGGACTCAGAGATATGATAACCTGGCTAGAGTAATCTCAGCGCACTGGCCACAAGTGGCACGTGCTCGTCAGGGGATGCTTCTCTTCACCGTCCACAAAAGACACTCACGCCACAGAACATTCTCCACAAGAAAGTAATCAACACGCCATGCAGCTGACAACACAAGTCACTTCACACACAGCAGCAGCGCAAGAAGACCGACACCTGAGCAGACTATTCAACATTCCCACCCTACGGCGAGACAGTCCAGAATCTCACAATATATACTGGAGACTTGTGTGTTTGTACACATTGCGCATGGGTCCCACTCTGGCATGGCAACGAGGTTGGACAACCTGCGTGAATCATGCACGTATCTTTTTTTCGTCCAAACACGATCCAACAAGAACAGAAGGTAAGTGCATTCAAGTACTGATACTTACTTCCACTTCTTCAAATAAGAGACGGCGGCAACATCTGCTCCGGCCGCTTCCAGTGCCTCCACATGCTGACTAAGGTCTGCCTGTATGTCAGAGAGACAAGACAGTAGAGCAGCAGAGTTGGTTTATTACTTCTTCTTCTTAGTATACTGTATGGCACGGGTCTGTCTACACATACAGCTGGTCATTGCGATAAAAGATTGAGAACGTTTTCATGCACGGAAAACTGGGTTGAAAATTGAACAATATTCGAAAAACTCAAGTGCAAACAGACGTAACTTCTTGCCTTGATCAGGAGATCACAACGCAAACAAACCAATCTGATCACTCGCCTTGTCCAGTAACACAACCCCACTCTTCCTGTAATTGCCCTGTGACAAACGAAAAACCAGGGGTGGCTTTCTGCAGGGATCACTTCAAAAGTGCTTTTGGAATGTTGCAGATACGTAGTCACAAACCCATGCTCGTGGTGTTAAACCTTCCTATCTTCAAAGCAGACAGACTGTGCCTTGCAGGATCATGCACTGGTTGAACTGCGATGCTATCCGACTGCCCCGGTTCAGCAATTGATATTGGCAGACTTACATCGGTCATGGATGAGCTCATGAGATAGCAGATGAGAAACAGGCGAAGTTTGTCCAGGGCCGTGCCAGCTGAATGAGATACACAGACAGTAACGCACATGCTAACAGTAAATACAAGAATGAATCTGAATGATTCTTTCAAGCTCTGCATCTTCTGCATACGTCGCTAGTTAACACTCTCGAGTACTAAATACCATGGGGGGGGGGGCGTGGCACAAGACACATACCTTGTGGGTCCTGGATGATCTCCAACACAGGACGATCCTGCAGATACCAACACAAGCACACACAAGAAGTGTTAATAAATACACAAAAACAAGGCTTCTACGTAAAGGAGCAAAACTAACTCGGAACAACATCCACAGCAAGAACGCACCATGACAACAACCAGGGTAGGATGGCTTCAAACAAACTGAACACGATTGCCAATTTTCCAACTGGTCAGCAGCAGACAAAGGAGGCAGGATAAAGAAGAAATGGCATCGTAACGGAGCTCCCAGAACTATTCTCTACCTGTTGAAATGGACTAAAACTCTGCAAAACAGACCTATGTACATGACATTAGAGTGAATCTCGTGTAACAAGTTAGTGGTAAATGTCACAACTAATCTATACAGTTTCAACACCTTATCATGAAAGATAGTGTCACTTCAAAGTCCATAAAGTGTTTCCCTGCAAATATGTATAGTACTGCTCAATGAAATCTGATCGTGCGAGTTAAGTATGCGCCAGGCGCTCTGCAGGCCCTAGACTTGCGAACTGGCGCAGGGCGCAAACTTGACTGATGCGATCGAATTTCACTGGGCAGCACTGTGCTACTGGTGGTAGACGCAGCACCAACGGCGATACCATGCAATGGTTCATCATTTAGCAGAACAGGGTGGGATTAAGGCCATAGTTTAGCATCACATGAATGTGGCACGGGAACCAGGCCATGCTTAGCACCTAATACAATAATTATTATGTTAGAATTAGGGATTAGATTCTGTCACCTTATGACAGAACAAGCCAAACTAGATCACATAATCACAACGTCACACCAACTCAAGCAAAAATAGAGCACAGAGTAGGACCACAACTTCACACCAACTGAAGCACGGGACAAAGATGCAAGCAAACACCTTACCAAAGTAGACTTGGACAAGATTTTCTCTTCGGCGTCGAAGAACATGTCCAACTTTCGGTCCTAAAGCATAGAAAAAGAAATAGAAGTGTTCCAGGCAAAAGATAGTACGATGTCGTTCTGGTTGAAGGCACGAAATACAGTAAAACCTGCCCTAACCGGACGCCCTTGGTGCAGTGGAAACTGTCCTGATATGACAGGACTCCGCTTGATCCAGGGATGCATGTTCGATCCACAGCACTTTGGTGCATGAAAGTTGTTGTTACTTTATTTTTACTTCACCAGAATTACAGGCAGTAGAATGCCTTCTCACTAGACCAGGTCTAGTTCTCACAAAGGATGAAAGTATGTCCGGTCAATACAGGATTCCGCTTGGTACAGGGTCTGGCAAATAAAGGTTGTTACTGTACGACCATTGCCAAAGCAAGGCAGACACACTGAAGTGCAAAACAAGCGGGATGAACTCCCTTATGCATACAATGTACATGTATTGCTATAAGAGCGGAATGTGCCCGACATGCCAACAAACCTTGATTTGCTCCAGAAGGGCCGAGGCGAGATTGGTGTGCATGTCCAGTGCCTTCTTCTTCTCCAACAGTTCCGGTACAGACCTGAGCAGCACACGGCACGTAGAGCAAACACAGCAGGTAAGTGGTGTGTACTCATGTGACATGCTTCTTACGGCATCTCACTATCGGTATTATGTATGTCACACTATGCATATATCATTTTATCGTGGCCGCCATTTTTGTGATCAAGATGTTCTTCAGCTTAGTCTTGCTCAAGTTAGGTGACCGATTTAGTTGGTGTTTGTTTCCTATTCGTGCATGCCCTTCATCCTGTCACATTTAGAGCAGCACGCATTCCACAGCTACTTCCAGCTTATTAGTGATAACAGGAAATGGTCAACCTACCCGAGTGCAGACGACAGCTTTTGTGTATTCTGCATCAGAGCGCTGCCATCGGAGTCTTCTTCGTCCTGCAGAGGGATAACGATGGAGTAACACGGCGACATCACCAGCGCACACAGCATAATTATAGTTAGCTAGGAAGTGGGAAAACAGGCACAGAGTATCGTGTAGTTCAGACTTTTAATAGCAAACACAACAGCATGTGCAGTGCAACTCTGATAAGGTGTAGGGTCATCAGGGGTAGACAGTATACTTAGTTTGTGTGGTACCGTAAAGTACCGTTGATCCGCCCCCACGCCATGTCGCTTCCCAGCTGGGTTTTCGGCAGGGGGCGGGAATTAGATCAAGGCTGTCAAGTGCAGTACGATGTACAACAACGTAGAGGATCTGACTCAATGTGCTGGATTATGCACATTTTTATCCTGGATTGGCAAGTATTGTGTACAGCAGTGCATGCGTCGGTTCAACATCGTATTTCGTTGTATACGCCGAAGTCGCTTCACAAGGAGAAAATCGACAGGGGGCGGGAATTAGAGAGGGGGCGGATCAACGGTACTTGAAGTTATTATCCAAACATACGGTTCAATAAAGAGCAATGCACCCATATTCCAGACAATGTCACAGCAAAGCATACGTTGCCCAAACAATGTCCGTACTAACCAAGTGTATGTCTTATCAGAGTAGGTACTGAGTGAGTTTCAGTGTATAAAGATCCCCCCCCCCCCCCCCCAACTTTCGCATCTTTCTATCTCTTTCTCTTTCTCTTGCTCACTCACTCACTCACTCTCTCTCTCTCTCTCTCTCTCTCTCTCTCTCTCTCTCTCTCTCTCTCTCTCTCTCTCTCTCTCTCTCTCTCTCTCTCTCTCTCCACCAAAACTGACCGTAGCCACTTTCAGATCTTTGACTCTGTCACCAGCTGCCTGGTACTCCTTGAGCTCAGCTTGAACGGAATCGGCCACGGTCGGAAAAGCACTATTCGCAACAGCAACAGCAGCAGGAGGGGAAAGCAACACACGCGCATTGAATGTCACAGCAGAAATGTGCGAGGGGTATTGTCAGTGACAATCCCTGATTGGAACAAAACAAACCTTCTGACTCTACTCTATCTCAATAGTGCACAAACTGTAAGATGCGAGTCTTAGGGATGACATGTAACTTTCGAGATTCTAGTAGCCCCCCTTGGAGCATGATAAAGACAACAAACACACACAAATGACCTACCAAAAAGGCAAAAACCCAACATTTACCATTATGCCAGGACATGCATGCATAACTAGGGTCACTGGGCAACATGAGTAGCCTTACCTGCCTCTGTGCTGCTGCCAGAACTGATCAGTACTGCTCAGGTCATACGCCTTGCCACTACTTGCTGCATGACACACAGCAACAAGAAACCAACCAACCAACCAGCACATACACCCGCATCCATGCACACACCCGCACGCGCACACACTTTAGAACATAGCCGGCTTTGCCTGTTACACTGCATCAACAGACTGCAAAACAGACTGGTGTGCAAAAAATTAAAATGCATGCCAATCCCTCCCCAACCAACTTCGTTTGCCAAAGAACATGTCAGCAAGCTTACCAGCAGCTCCAGCTGTTGTGGCCTCTGGCCCAGAATTTCTTACGGTGACACGGTTCAATGAGAGTTCCTGAAATATGACACAATGCGAAAACAAACAAACAAAAACATGTTTGCTGTTACTTTATGCTCTATGGCCCTCTTGTGAGGACGTGTAGGTACAGAAAAATACAGCGAGCACTCCGCAATCAACTGAGTGTACACAGGTGACCAGCCAGGGGCAGCCAGTAAATGGGTATGGGTTCTGAACTTCATGCGACCAGGGCTTCAACTTTTAATGGCGTCGGTCTGGTTGGTCATTGATGTCAACAACAACTCATCTTCACAACTTCTTCTTCTTTCACCGATTGTAGCCCATATATGCGCACAGCGACATACAACGATGACACGGATGACAACGCTAACAGCATGCATACCCTGTGCACAACTAGCTGCACTAACCATCAGGTCATGTATGAGAGCTTGATACGTCCAAGAATGGTGCAGTGGTGTGGCCAGGTCAAGGGAGCGGTCCAGCAGAATCAGCAATGGCCTCTGAAAACTGAAAAACAAAAACAAACAAAAACAATGATGACGGGAGAGGAATGAGCACAGCAAACAAAGTATCAGATGCTAGTACATGTAGTGTCGGTTGCGTTTATGATGATAACACAAGTAGCCCATGGGTCGAGTACACCTGAAGTGAGCCAGCGAGCCAGGCTGCTATGCAACGTGTGATGTGTACTGCAGTGTTGGCTGCACTCATGACCACCTGTCGCCACTGGGTAGTAAATTATAAAATACACAACTACCGGTACATGCTGGATGTGCACATGTTCCGCTCTCACACACACACACACACACACACACAAACGCACGCACGCACGCGCACACACACACACACACACACACACACACACACACACACACACACACACACACACACACACACACACTGTGTACCACAAGCACAAGCACAACGCTACGTAACATCTACAGTAAATAACTTGGTCATGGAAATATGTCAATCACCACCCCCTCCCCCTCCGACACACAGGCAACTTTGACTCGCAACAAGTAAAGCAGACCAGGATCAGGAAACACACCATACTACATAGTACCAGTACCTGAATTGCCCAGCAGCAGTATCACCGGTAAATAGACTGTTGCGCGTATCACGCAGGTTCTCGCGCAGTTTCTTGTCCAGAGCCTGATAGTCGGAAGGAGAGAAGAAAAGGCACGAAACGATCCCAAAGCAACTTCAGATCACGTAACAATACTTGAGTAGCCATTACCATGCTGGATTGAGGATGTCATGACAGACTGCATGCACAGCCACAAGCAACCAAAGGAAATGCCACCAGCAGCTAAGGTCAGTGCCCGATTGCTCCTTCTATTGCTTGCATAAGCTCTCCGTACAACGGCCACTCTAACCACAAACTGTTTCTCATTATCACGGCATTGAATAAAAAGACAAAAATGGGATAAAAGCTTGGGCTCAGTTGAAAATCATCACCAAGAGAACCAGATTATGATTCCATCTGCTAGAGCTAATATAATCAAGCATCATTGCCCAGCAAATACAACAAGAAAATTCATACCAATTTTTTCATCTTTCCAGGAACAGATTCAGGTACCTATCGGGCCAAATGCACAAGTATGTTCCATGCTGAAATATTTACCAACAATTCTAACAAGGCAAGCACATATACTACAGACTTGAGCCTAGGCATATCAGTAGTCTTAGGGTGCGTTTGGTTGGTACGATCTAGAACAGGATCGAACAGCTGGTGCACATGGAGCAGCCTCATGCCAACCAAACGGTACTCCAGAAACAGAGCACATTTTCGTGGAAAAATGTTTGAAACTTGAAAATGTGTATGGGTCACCATGGTCACTTTGTACGGTACAACGAGTCCAACCCAAAAGCGTATGCACGTGATCATTTGGGACCAAAATCGATGTTCCCGCCAGGTTTCACTGTGAAAAAGTGAAACTGCTCGGTCTGCTCTGGCCTCGAGGCCGGAGCAAGCAGAACATGTTCTGGCCGACCCAGAACAGGTGCAGTCCCAACCAAACGCGCTGTTCTGGTGAATCCTGTTCTAGTTCGTACCAACCAAACGCGCCCTTAGGGCACTTGAATAGTGCCATCACCTCAGAGCTTTGCAACGTGCCTATTCTACGGGTGTGCGTCTTACCAGAGCCCCAACATGACATGCTCACCTCTGCAATCATCTCCGCTGCATTGCCGCGTGGACACCGAATCACTGGTACAGTACCTACAGCCATATCAGAACAGCACAAAAGACTGCTACACTCAATGGCTGCACCCAACACAAGACACGACTCTTGCAAACTACTACCGCTAGTTGATTTTAGATTTTTAACTGCCTACTGCTACCTGGAAACCTTGGTTGACACACATACTAGTGCACATGCATCCAAGTAGCATACTGCTTCCATCCTGCATGCTCACCTAGCGTAACGAAGAGCGCGAATAGAGACTCCACAATGGTGTCACGCATAACCTGCATGTCGGTGTCCTGCGCATCAGAGCGATTGATTCCTTACAGTGAGGACACAAAACACACATACACACAGCAAAGTGAATACATGGTGGACTCTTTTGTATGAGTCAGCCAATAGTATCATCAATATCAATAATGCAACAAGTTACTATCCTGCCGCAGCCAGGATGGAACACCGAATAGACGCACGCAGCTAAAGTACAAAAGTTACAAATAACAGCTTGCACCGCACACCGGCCAACATTGGCACAAACCAAGCGACACTGGGTAGACCGTACTGTGAGTCTGTGTGGACGACCTACCGTAATAGGACAGGGGCTCCAGGTCGTGCTGCCGCACCACAAACATATCGTCCTCCAAGCTCAAGAAGCTCTGATACTGGTCAACGATCTGCACAGGTAAAACAATACCCGCATGAGTCTAACTTCACTCCCATGCAAAGAAAAGTGTACCACGGGCCATGAAGAAAAAGCTACAGTAACAATATACTTTCAATGACATCCAAACTCTGGTCAGATGAGCAGCAAGCACTGATTAGCCCTCTCGAAGTCTCAAATCAAGATACTACAATTTTTTCAATTTTGTAGTATCAACGCTAAGCCAGGCACCTGAACACAACCAAGCCTGTGCTTTGTGTGATCCCTTAGTATGGCCACAGACTACAGGATAGCCGTTACCCAATAACACAACACAATCTTGAGGGCCAATGCAATTAATGGTTCACCATCGAAGAGCATCTACTAGTACCTTGGAAATTGAGGCAACAGCATCGGACTCGATGGCAGCTGTGGCAATCTCCTCCAGTCTCTGCCGTGGGACAGCCGTGACGAAATTGAAGTAATACGACTCATACATTTCACTGCGAATATCCTGTATCAAAAGCACAACAAAAGATGATGGTCAACAGATTGCACAATACATACAAGTTGACAAAGCTCTCTGCCAACGTGACTGAAAGGCATACAGACATACCTGACAAATACGAGCGATGTTCTCGGCAGTGGGGAGCACAAAATAAACTGCAGGGACATCCGCAACTTGGTCACGTTTGCTGTGAAGCTGGCTGCAGTGATACAAGCAATCAACACAAGACAGACAATCGCAAAAGGTGTTGAAAAATTAGTGCTAGTACTTTTGGAGATTGGTTAGTTCTTGCACAGACTGTGACGGCAAACAATTGCTCCGTGAAAGTGACAGTACTGCATGTCATAACATCAAATTCAACCCGACCATATGGTCTCATTTCTGCATGTGCGCTGATAGCGGCACAAAAACCGCCGTCGAGGAAAGCATGCACCCCATTGGTCGACATAGACAAAATCACCACCACCACCACTACCAGTAACAAACAACCTCGCTCAGCATGCATAGACAGCTGAGCAAGATCGCAGAGAATCAGCACACGGCACGGTTGGCTTACAGGTGCAGAGTCACTCCTCGGTCACGCAGCTCGGGTACGGACAACACTGGCGAAATGATATCCTGTCCATACTTGTCGTACACAAGGACCTGCACGGGTGCATGTACAGACAAGAAAACAGCAACCTCTTAGTGCAACCAATGAGACACACCACTGTATGAGTGACTTTGACTTGGTTACACACAGCATCTGTGATTTTCCTTTCCCTGGCTGTACATCACGGTGGAGCGTTCTTGACAGAGGGGCGCCGTGGCGGTACTTTGCGGCATTACTGCACAGCGGTGTGCATGCTTGTGTGCACGTGTGTTACATGCGTACATGCACATGCGTAGGTAGGTACTAGTGCATAACCAGTAAAGGAATCTTTACGATGCTTGTGCACGCTCATGGTCTAGCTATTCTATATCTTGAAATTCTTCAGCGTTGATGAGCACTGCAGCAGGTGTGGATGTACTCTACACACATAGCAAAACCTCAAATCGTGCTACTAAGTGTTTATGTGAGGTCTGCTATAATTCATCAAGTCAATCATTATACACACAGACAACTTTGTCTCCATTCTAAACTCGTGTACTCTAACAAGAAAAAATATACCGACCTTCCATGCAGGCTCTTCGGCAGTCGTTGACTTTAACGGAGCATTGAAATTTATCATCCGCTTGATGGCCTCTGTGAACACATTGCATTGTTGAGAGTCCAGTTCTGAGTGAGCTTATGTGACCCATTGTTTGGCAATGTTTAGTTTCACCTACCCGTCTGACGAGACCGAAGGTCAGTGCGTTCCGTCAAATCTGAAAAGCTATTCGAAGCCATTTCGCCAACTCCCTTTCAAGACATCAGGGTGATACTGCCTGTGCTCCACGAGTCAGTGGTTACAGTTTCGGCAACAGAACATACACAATGGCCAAAAGAGTCAAGCTGGGATCTCAGTGCGTTTCTACGTTTTGGAAAAACGAAAAACTGATGTTGAAAAATATGCGAAATATCGACGCCACGTCAATGATGACGTAGTCACCGAACTCCTCGAGTCCTCGTGCCCTGGCGTGTAGTTTGCCCAAACCGCTGATCGGCGAGGGTTCGATACTAGCGAATCGGTACTCGTAGATGTACTCGGACTACTCATGTACTCCGTCTCGTCTAACAATACATGCATGCACCACACCGTAACCAGTCCAGGGAGCAGTAAAAACGTTTTCTCCCCTGCTTTGTACAATGCCAATGGCCAGGACCGCAAGTGAGTAAGTTTAATAATAAAAGTACTAGTAATTTATCGTGTCCGCTCCAGAAGGGAACTGCAAGAGTTGTATTAATTTTATTATTTTACTAGGACAATCCCCCTGAAGAGTCTGTATCTAATGGGCATGATGCACGCACTCATGATACTTATATTGCCGACAAGAGCACATGAGGCTATGTACCGTCTTGGTCTGATCCGACTCAGTTAGCAGTGAGACGGAACACCGGGCCATAGCGCCTGTGGGTCATAATAATTATCAGCTCTGGCAGACTATGCGTGGGGGTCACCGGTTATAATCGCTATACATGTGCTTCCACTCACATGCATCAAGGCTTAGATCATACAAACTTCCACTCACATGCATCAAGGCTTAGATCATACAAACCGGGAGCCTTGCCAGGGCCGAGATTAGGCCAATACCAAGCCAAAATCCAGGTCGTACTTTGTGCAACTGTGTGACCAGTTTGCCACGCATAACTACCCGAATCCTGACTCCACAACTGGACAGTGTCAGTGGAGCAGGACAGTGATCGGCCGTGGGGCCGGTAGTCGTGCTACAGCACCATGCTCCCAGCCCGCGCAGGTCATCAGATCGGCAAAGGAAGCCTTTCCAAAGCAGAGTTGAAAGACCCCATTTCCGCAGATCCGGGCAGTCGTGTGGCGCAGCCTCCGGCTTGCAGCATGATTCATGTACTGGGCTACTGAGTAGTACAATACTCAATTGCCAACTACTAGTCACAACCTGGTTGGGGGTCTACACATCAATTGCAGCCTTGTGTAGGTAGTATGCCACACACACTCGGAGAAGGCATCACGCCGTATGTAGATAATCTCATCTTGCGTAGTCTAGATGATCTCGCTCGGCAAGCCAGGGCTCAGATTGTCCCTAAACAAGTTCTGATGTGGCACAGCTGTAACGTTAGTAGTTGACACTGCTGTGGCTGCTATGGCAGTAACAGCAACGGGTGACACATCAAACCCTTCAACATCAATCTTGATTGCAATTGATCACGGTAAGCTTAAAAAATATATGCAAGAATCCCTCCTAAAAAATGTCTGGAAAACTGAACAGAAACAGTTGAGCTCAAATATGGCGGCTCATTGTGATCGGAACCTATCCCCAGATCACAGACTATTTTAAAGAGTACATGTGGCAAATAAGACGACTGACTCCTATGGTCAGTATCTTGAAAAACAAAAACAAACAAAGATTGGACTGAATGTCCCTTTCACTGGAAGGGCATACAAGTATACTGGTAGACTCACCAGGGATTGGGTTAGGGGTTAGGATTGGGTATGTTTCAAAATTCAAGAAGGGCATGTGGCATCTCTCCCAGTAGGAGAGGCGGAGTATAAAAAGCGGCTCTCAAGTACGTTCGTGTGGGTTTACTATGGGAGTATGCTGTCCGAGTCGGTGGGTTTCGAATGTTGTGCAATGCTGAAACCCAACCAGAACTTATCATGTTGCTGGTGGAAACCGTCCTCGGATGGACGTGTCGGTGACGCCACTTGCGGTGGCTACTAGATCATTAACTAGCTGAGAGGCTTGTTGCGCTGGTGAGAGGCTGCCAAGCGCACCAACACCAGTGAGAGTATTTGCAGGCTCACCAGGACATACAGGCACACCGACCAGCCGTAGAGGTCTGCAATCTTGCCGATCAGTGGACCCTCCAGTATCACGCCAACACTTCCCATGCCTAAAGACAACACAAACAACAAATTATGTCAAGCGTGTCCAAGAACGGTACCAGGTGACGAAAGTACGGCACTGCGTACTGAAGACTGTCAGGGTATACACGTTAACTACAGTGGCATTCAACATACTGTAAAAGCCTTACACGAAATGCTAACTCTAACGAGTTGACGAGGAGAAATCTGTCGTTAAAATAGAAAACGTTATACAGAAATAGATACTTATACTGTTGCTAGTGAGCGTTGAGAATGAGTGAGAATCGTTACCGTTGGAACACGTAAACTGGTCAATTTTAGGAAATCGTTATATTTGCAGCTCGTTAGAATACTAAGTATTAAAGTAAACAAATAATCATCATGGCTGGATACGCATATGCAATGGATATGCTGTGAGAATGATGATGATGAATCAGGGTTCAGGTACAGATTGAAACAAATACCTATCATGTATGCCAGGGTGGGAAATGTCCTCAAGTGGCACGATTTGGGATGATTTTTCCAAACCTCTTCCCAGGGGCAGCTCCCCCGGACCCCGATCTACTATGCCTTTCGGACCAAGCCGGATCAATCAAAAATTGCTCCGAACGCCCTCTAGAGAACAGTTCAGGCCTTAGTAGAGCATGATAGCGATCAGAATCCATGCAGGACCTTACCATTAATGACACTCGCCAGGCCAGCTTTGATGTTGGTTCCTTCGAGCTCCGCAATCGACATTGGTACCATAGCGGAGATGATGGGATCTGTGGCCACATTGGCTGCTCCCGCCAGTGACAGCATGGCACAGTTCATGACCATGCCCTGCTTGGCGGTTGCGATGAATGCACCAATGCTCACGCAACCAACCAACAGGAGGCCAGTCATTGTGGAGAGCTGCCGACCACCGTAGAGCCTGTAGACAATGACACCAAGCAGAATAATGCACATGTGTACTCACTGTACCGTGAATTACCAATAAGTCACCACTTTCTAATCCCCCCGTCCCCAGTGTAAACCAGCAGGGAAAGTGGCACAGCACAGAGCCAGATAGACCGGTAGTCTACAGTACACAGCATCCTGTTACCAGGCTTGGTGGAGCAGGGCATGTTCAAGTAGCACGGGTGCCACTCTCCCGAGCGGATAGATACTGAGGCGATGGAAGCTCCCCTGGACAGTCAACGCTACCTCATAGCACACATCATGGTGGGTATACACTATACATATAATTAAATGTTTTTGTAAATGCAATAGAATTAGTGTGCTGAGCAGCACTGCTGTGCAAAGGCAGACATATGCTGCATGACTGTGCTAAAGTGCTCCAACAACAACAACAACATGGCCATAAGCCCATAACTCAGCATGGAGTAAGCTCAACATGCCGTATACTAGTTACTGGCTAGATCAGTTTGCATTCTAAAGTGACTGCCAGGGTGTTATATTTATGCAGGATATCCAAAATTCTGCTTCTATGATAATGCTGCACAGTGTGAACTTAAGCGGGCAAGCTCACTTTTCAATAATTGTCCCAGAGAAGAGAGTACCGATGAAACCGCCAATCTCAAATGTTGTCGACATCAGTCCAGCATGGGAGTCAGTGAAGTGTAGCTGCAACAAGCAATCAAAGCAGATCGAGGGTCAACAAGCACACGAGGCACCAATGACTGTATGAATACCTATTAGCCAATTACCATACTGCACTCACAGTCTGCGTGTACTGTGCTAGCAAATGCGGTGATGCATGCGTGAACCACTTTACATGCAGTGAACTGCGCCGACACCCACGGTCAACTGGGTACTCACTACTCGGAGTGAGGGTAACATGGATGCAGCTAACGAGGTTAGCCCCCTTGTCGGGCATTGGTTGTGAGACTTACCACCTCACCCTCGCCGTTAGGCTGCATCTGCCACCCTGGTATCACAGGCATGGTGGTGGCCTGGCACATGCGAAACTTCCTAAGCTGGTTGTGTTTCTCAACGCAATTGTATAGCCGGTGGTAACGCGGACGTGCAAACTTTACTTTTTTAACTTTACTCACAGTCTAGTGCTGCCTACGTCGCAGGTGACTGGCTATTTTCACTACTGTAAGAATGGTGGCCCGGCGGAAATCAGCACGGTGCTGCATGCATGCAGGCCTTAGACACTGCCCAAGCACATGGCCTCAGGTCAAATACATGCGGAATGATGATGTTCACGCACAGCACAGCCTATTCGTCCGGAGTTTGATGTTGTTAAATTTGCCAGTTACCATGGGCACGCTAAATGTCTAGCTGGCAACCAAACCGGCATGCACAATGCAAAGACAAAAAAAGAGACCGATTCAAACTGCGCAAGCGCTTTTTAGCGCGACCTTCCATGTCATTACCATGACACTAGCATAATATTCAAAAATCAATAAATAGAAAACACAAAAATACACGCAGCGCAGATGTTCGTCATTTGAAAGAACAATGCTTCTCGTTTATTTCAAATACTGTACAAGCAGAAATATTCGCCTGGAGTTTAATTTCGTCTTTTTCGTCCAAGGAGGTTTTGGACTAAATTAAATGCCGGACTAATGTCGATTTGTCCAGCTATTCAATACACTCTTATGATCATGGACGAAATGTACAACCGGATGAACTCCCTTTCTTTGGAGTTGGGCGAAATTATTGACCGACGAAATTTTCTGCCTGTACAGTATTCAGCCAATGAGAAGCGTACACTACTGTACTGTAGTAGGAAAGATGTCCCACTTCTCGTTTCACATCCGAACGAACTACAATTCCAAACATAGTATCCCAAATTGCTTTCCAACGAAATGTTTTGCTTTCACGATAAGCTTTTCCCACACAGTAGTAGCTAACCTGCTCCGACAGATAGAGCGGCAGCCACATGAAGAAGGCATAGCGGACTAGTTTAATGAGGAAGTTAGCCAGGCACAGCTCTTTCACGCATCTGTAGGTGAACGACAAGTACACAGAGGTAGGAATAGGAATGTGTACATGTACGTCAGTGGGCCCCACAAATAACAAAATACATCTCGGCACTGGTGGGATATTCATTAGGAGCACCGTACTGCAAGGCGATGTACAAGTACAACCTCCCCGGGATTACCAAGAATCATGGCTCTACAATTATACAGTCGTCCCTCTCTAATCCGGCACTTTATAATCCAGCACCCTCGATAAACCAGCACAATTTTCAGTAGCCAAATGTCCTCTTCATGCACATTGCAGCAGTAAATCAGATTTCTTAATCCAGCACCCTCCCTAATCCAGCAGATTTTCGTGGCACAAATGGTGCCGGATTATAGAGGGACCACTGTATTTATATTCTTTATTCTTCAGACAGTGCCTTCGACTCAAGTACTGTACATCTACAGCACCTGCCACCTCAGCCACTGAATGAATAGCAGCAACTCTATACAAACACACTAGGAATCCGTCACATCCATTGCCGTATAAGGTTTGCAGGGCTGATCTTGGAAATGTGTGTGTGTGTGTGTGTGTGTGTGTGTGTGTGTGTGTGTGTGTGTGTGTGTGTGTGTGTGTGTGTGTGTGTGTGTGTGTGTGTGTGTGTGTGTGTGTGTGTGTGTGTGTGTGTGTGTGTGTGTGTGTGTGTGTGTGTGTGTGTGTGTGTGTGTGTGTGTGTGTGTGTGTGTGTGTGTGTGTGTGTGTGTGTGTGTGTGTGTGTGTGTGTGTGTGTGTGTGTGTGTGTGTGTGTGTGTGTGTGTGTGTGTGTGTGTGGATTTAACCCGACACAAGAACTACTGGCTCGCCTAATAGCTATCATCGCCTTTGGCGATGGGCTTTCCAAAGGTCCAAAGGTGTGTGTGTGTGTGTGTGTGTGTGTGTGTGTGTGTGTGTGTGTGTGTGTGTGTGTGTGTGTGTGTGTGTGTGTGTGTGTGTGTGTGTGAGGGAGGGAGGAGGGAAGGGAAGAACAAAACAAGTTCCATAAGGAGTCATTATCTACAGTAACTAGCTAACCGGCGCAATCAGTATATCATTAGTAATGGCCACTGGTATGAAAACTTTCCCAAAAATGTTCTTTGAAAATAACAGAACTGCAGTTGAAGTTTAGGATACTATGGAAACAAGTGTAAGCAAGGTGCATGCTGCTTGTCCCTCACTAGACCTGGAGCATCCACGGGACAGCAGCGCAGCTGTAACCTATACATTTACCATGTACCAACACCAGCAGCAGGACCCTTCCGGCGCCTTACTCGATGCTAAGCAACTGAAGAGTGTTCACGGACTTTGGTGTAGAGGCCGATGGTGACAATGGTGCACCTAAGTGTAGCAAAACAACAACACAGAGTGCCTGGGATCAATGCAAAGTGAGCACATGCTTACCACAACCCTCAGCTGGATAGTAAAAAAAAAACATGCGTAATGTGACGTGGAGACCTTTTTGACCTTTTGATGCCCATCGTCGGAGGCGGTGATGGCGATGCTACAGAAGGAGCCGTAGCAACTTGTGCTGGGATTGCACCATTCAACAGCTTGCAAGGCTGAAGAATTGACCGTCACGAGTCAGCCTACACTTGTAGTCTACACAACACAGCTATTTGAACTGTTTTTTTCTGGCCAGTGAGTCTCTTCTTTTTGGTCGTTTTCCCTTTTTTTTCCTCGCACACACATCACACCACATACTCCGGCATACACGGTTGTTGGTAACCACCCAGGAGAATGGAAGAAGAGCTAGGAACTGAGAAAGAGGAGAAAGACTTGTGTGACTATAATCGTCGGGAATGGAACCCGCAGCCTCTCAGTTGGAAATCAACTGCACACACCAATGCACCATATGTAATGGGAGAGCAACGACGACAGCAACACGAGACAGTAGAGACCTTTTGCATTTCATGACAAAGTGAGTACTTACTTTGGGACAAAGGGTCCAGGTTTGATGGTGCAACGGGCAGGAAAAGCAGCACCACAAACGAGAGCACCAGCTGCTCAAAGAGTAAGGAAACACAGAAAACAGTCAATTAGAAAGGCACCTTATCAACTCTACGCACGTAGATGGATGCACGATCACACAAGTACACTGTCCCGAAATCGCAAAGAAATCTTCCATACATTTTACTATTTTAGTGTCCTGACAGTTTCTTGTACACAACTGGAGGTTTAAAAAAGATTGCGCAGTGCATTGACAACTATACCGTAATGTCGCGTATAAAAAGCAGGTGCTTACGGCCGTATAAGCCGGGGTTCAAACTATGCTTCCATTCAAGATACGCTTCTATTCAAAACATGCTTCTATGTCATCATCTTCAGTCTACACTGTACAGTGCATATTGTCACACATGTAACGTTCAAGTACATGTACTTGCACGGTTGCTTCTATTCAAATTGTGCTTCTGTGTCACGGCGCGCTTCGAAAAATCGGCTTCTATTCAAGTCATGCTTCTATATGGGTCATGCTTTTACACGGGTCATGCTTCTATATGGGTCATGTTTTTATACGCGACACAACAGTAGTTGGATACCTCACCGTACCACAAAGATGGATTGTGGTAGAAAGGAGTAGCGCCAAGACCAGTGGGCCAGCAACCACACCTAAAAACACACAGTCATCCAGATCACAGCGAAAGTGAGAGAGGAAGAGACTCAGAGGATTGAGCATTCCCATGGATCATGCGTCTCAAAGCACAACGACCATCCAGAGGTCCACAAGGATACAGTGGACTACATTATACTTAGCTCTTCAGATAAGTTTCTGCAGGCTGTCACCTACTACTAGCTAATAGGTAGGGTTCCTAGAAGCAACAGTATACGTGTACATGGCAGGGGCGTTGGACATGCCGCGGTCACCACACTATTTGCTGCACCACCATTCGCCTCAGGTGCCCTGTGGATTACTCAAATGCATATTTTTGTCTGTACGGTACACCTCAGTTCAAATATTCGATATTTTTAACTATTTTTTCTTCATTCTAGCAACCCCTGCTTAGCTCCACGCCAGTATCAATATCGGCTTTCTCTTCTCAGCGCCATGGCTGGCCAACACCCACTTTCTTCACACTCTGGCTTGTGTTCTTGCTTTGCTTCGGGATGTTGCAACAAATACAAATGCAAAGTGACTGATTTACGTGCATAAAGGTGCACAGAGAGAGAGAGAGCATGCAAGCCTAGCCTGCTACAGTCAAAGTGAAAGCCCCATGCACTGAATAACATAGCCCAGCACATACCGCAAGCATGGTGCCTCCAATTCCGCCGACAGACATACACGTTCCAAACACACCGAACACATTGCTGGAGCTGCGGCTGGGGAACCAGCCAGAGACCAGCTTCACACATGCCGGCCACCCAAAAGCCTGGGTGAAGCAGGGTGCAACAGACAGTGCAGCAAATCAAGAAGCTATAACAATTTATCTATAACAGTTAGCGAGAGGATATATCTGAAAGGTTCTGAAAGACAGCTGCGGGTGCAAGTTGATAAGCCATTGTGTTTGGGGATTTTTAGATGCCTGTGTTATGCAGAGTGCAAATAATGTTGTACTGACCAAGTTCTTTCCAAGTTCAGGAGCACAATCGTCCCGGTTCGAGCGCACACTACGCTGTAGAAGTGCGTATGAAACTCTTGAGCAGGCCCATGCATTCATGATTTTGAAATACACTATTAAAAGTTTCAGCTGATGCTTCCTGATTTAAGACACTGGCAAAGCTAAGCTGCTTTTTAAATATTCCATCACAGCTCTTCTAAGTATGCACTCTGCAAGATATTCTACAACTATTCACTGCATGCCACCGTCAAGTCGTGAGAGCTGTCATGCGTCAACTGTTTGGATGTGCAGGGAAAGAACGCAACCGTGGAAATGTTTCATTGCTTTTGGTATTTATACACTGCCCCTCACCTGTGCAGAACCTGCGATGAAAAGAAGGACAACAAGTGGCAAGAGGCTGTTCCACATGCCGAAGGAGAGCATAGACGTTGATGAGGTGAAGAGAACGAAGAACAGCACAACGTGCGCCGCTACTTTATCCGCCTGGCTGCCAACCGTCACCTACAGTGGGGATATACCAAAGCAACAGACGGGCCAAACTGTACTCTGAGACCGACACGACAACAAGCAGCCGCGCGGCAAGCAAGCACAGGCACACATGTACATTGACACATATTCGGAATTTTCAAAATGCATGAGTGAGCAGCCGTGCACTGCAGGCGCTGGGTTGTACACTTGAAACCGGTGCTGTCCAGGAACATCCGTCCAGGTCTCAGTAGGCAGGAAAGCACTGAATAGCAAGTTACAACAGTTAGAAGTAGAGTCATGTACCTGAACAATGGCATACGGCATCAGAAACGCCATGTCCAGAAAGCCCAGCTCAGTTCGCCCGAGATGGAGATCTTTGGACAGAGGCTTCTTCCCCTGAATTAGTGAATCGGAAAGCACACCAACACACAGCTAAGTCAGACCAATTGATATCGATTGCCTTATTGAAAAGTTGCACAGAGACATGTACTGGTCGTGCAGGTAGGGCAGGCTGGTGTGCTGCCAGAAGGACAGTTGGACATTGACAAAGTAGGCGAAGCGGTTCCCTTCATCAAGTTTTCTTCTGCACCAGCACCCATAGTGGAGTTGCACACTCTTGGGGGTAATGTACGCTCGGTACTAGCCCTTGCTCACCAATGGCAACCCATGTCCTGCCAACCATGCAAAGTGATACAAACGCCCATAGGCTGCAAGCTGCAGTACTAGCCGCCGTCATAGTCAGTGGCTGGTGGCTGATTGTTGCATAATTATACTCCCCAAGCAAGTTCACACCTTGTACCGTACCCAATTTGCCCATTCACAGAGTCGAACCCTGTAAGCGAACAGATATAACACAAACTTCAGCCAAGCTTTTTGCATGAATTCGTTGCATTTCGATAGCGGCTATGACTGGAACCAAAAGGGTATATAACCGTCAAGAGTGTGTAACTGCCTGTACATTCTCTATCAAGTGCTGCGACGGCAGAGTTTTACATCACGTGACATGGTTCAATAGGTGCCGCTGGCAAACAGTGAGACTGAGAGTGACAACCAGAGAGATGTACTTAAAGCAGGGTTGTGTACAACAAGAACCCTGTAGCTATGGTGCAGTGTGCAAATAAGGTGTAGGGGCTTGTGACGTTATCAATAAAATATGAAGTTCTGCCATCGCAGACCCATTACACTGGAGTTGCACCATCTGTGTGTGTGTGTGTGTGTGTGTGTGTGTGTGTGTGTGTGTGTGTGTGTGGGTGGGTGCGTGCGTGCGTGCGTGTGTGTGTGTGTGTGTGTGTGTGACAGAGTGAGAATGAGAGAGACAGAGAGACAGAGAGAGAGAGAGAGAGAGAGAGAGAGAGAGAGAGAGAGAGAGAGAGAGAGAGAGAGAGAGAGAGAGAGAGAGAGAGAGAGAGACAGAGAGAGAGAGAGAGAGAGAGAGAGAGAGAGAGAGAGAGAGAGAGAGAGAGAGAGAGAGAGAGAGAGAGAGAGAGAGAGAGAGAGAGAGAGAGAGAGAGAGAGAGAGAGACAGAGAGAGAGAAAACAGAGACAGAGACAGAGAGAGAGACAGAGAGAGACACACACACAGAGACAGAGAGAAGGAGGAAGGGAGAGAGAGAGAGAGAGAGAGAGAGAGAGTGAGAGAGAGAAGAGAGAGAGGACCTGACAAATTTGGACTAAAATGACGATTGCAAACATATGACGGACGTCATTGACCTCTCTCTCTCTCTCATTCCGGTCTGACGTTCGTTAGTGCTAACCCCAATTTCATATTAGGCCACACCCTGTTATTTCTATGTTTCTCTTCACCGAAATCTAAATCGTATGCGAGAGGTGGAAAAATAAAAAATGACCGAAAAAAGTTTACTAGAGCTTTCGTCCTACTAAAATCAACCATTACACCGTGTAAAGTAACATCAATTAGCAACTATACTACATGTCTACTCTCCATATAACGTAATCTCTGGGACCACGCAAAAATTATGTTACTGTAAAAGCCATATATACAACGAAGTGCTAACTCTAACGAGTTAACGAGGAGAAATCTGTCGTTAAAATAGAAATCGTTATACAGAAATCGACACATATAGGGTCCTATTGAGCGTTGAGAATGAGTGAGAATCGTTACCTTCGGTACACGTAAACCAGTCAATTTCGGGAAATCGTTATATATGCGCCTCGTTAGAATAATGGCTTTACAGTATATCGAGAGTTACGTTATGTAGAAAACCGAGTGTAAAATACAAGATGTACTTCAAAATGAAGGGTATTACAGGGCGGGTTTAACCGTGCAAACATATACACTGTACCACCATCGACATCAGATACCATCAATGCCGCAGAATATACATGTATGCACAATAGGACCAAACTGGCTAGCTACGGCTACAGCTTGACTGTACCGCGCACGTGAATCTACGTTGTGTCGAGAGTGCGCACGTCGGGGACCGCGGCATATAGGGTGCGTTATGCCGAGGGCTTACGTTATGTAGGACTAAACTGGCCTAAACTGCCTAGCTATAGCTACCGCTTGATCGTACCGTGCACGTGAATTTACGTTGTATCGAGAGTGCGCACGTCGGGGACCGCGCCGTACCGTGCGTTACTAGCGAGGTTTATGTACAAGTGAGAGTTGTTATATCGAGAGCAGACCTGTAGTAGACCTACATGTAAGTGCTAGGAGCTTCTGTGCATGTGCAGCTAGATTGCGCAACAAAAACTGCCAACCTCGCATCATGCGTCGCGCAGGCCAGGCCAGGGTGCACGTGTACATGTGCTGGTACATGGTCCCCAAAGTGCAGCACAGTTTTTTTTCTTCCAGACTCCTGAATCGTATGCGCGCGCGGGTGATGAGAAACATAGAAATAAAAACGTGTGGCCTTAGGCATTGCATGTGCGAAAGTTGTCACTGTTTTGACACTGTAGTACCGTGGTCCCCACTGTCGTCTCATACTGGTAATATTCATTGTCTCAATGTGTAGCTGGCGCCACTAGAGCTATCTTTTAAAGTGCTATTTGGTCTATGCTCCGACCGCCAAATATGTAGTTGGCGCCACTAGCGCAATTTTTCAAGTGCTATTTTTGTCAATGCTCTGACCGCCAAAGTGCTGGTTATAAGGACTTGCTTGCTACCTTGTTAACCACCATTGTATTCGACTTGAAAAGTAATGCTACGAAAGGCCTAGTCGAAATTATATGGCTTCTGTGCTTCGTGTGCTGTTCTGCATTTCTGTAAGTGGTTCCACTGTATCAGGAATTTTGCTTGCGGATCATATTGGGATATCCATCACTGGCAGTCACTGCCCATACTAAGCTTTCATTCCTTTCAACACAGCTACATGTACATGCCTATGCAGTAATACTACTGATACTGCGCTCAAGGAATCCCAGGCCAGCACGCCTGGCTGCTACGATACCCCCGTGTGCACGTTGGCTTTCAGGCGTGATATGTACTATCGTCAATTGACGACTCGTGACTACCTATCCCAGATGTTGCACTAAGTTTGCAGCCTGGCTGTTCCCAGACTCGGCAGCACATTCTTCGGTGCATGAAGGCCCATTCACGATATCACTTTCTGCAATGTGACGTGCGACACTTGCGACAAGGAAATGCCTGTCGCATCCTGTCGCTAGGAGTCGCAAGGCCACTGTCGCAGGAGTTGACCAAAGTTCAACTTTCGCGGTGTGCGACGTGCAAAAATAGAGTAAAGTTGTCTACTCTGGGTGCACATGTGAACACTACATAGAGATGTCACAAAACCAAAACGATAGTGAATCGTGTGTCGCAGGTGTCGGAAGTCACATGTCGCGTCGCAGAAAGTGCCGTATTGTGGATGGGCCGTTATACACCGCACACGTACTGCACTGGTTCAGCTGGAGCCCTGGATATCGGATACACTTCAGCCCCCATTCATGGCATGAGTGTGCAATAAACTATAATAAGTATTATGCGTTCTGGAAAATACATGAAACATTGCTGATTTGGACTGTATGCTCCACCAGTACTACAAGTGTCCAGCAGTGGTGTGCGCAGCGTGGTGTGTGTGTGCAGCTCCAAAAGCAATTCAAAGACAACGCTTAAATGGTACATACCACTCCTAGCGGCTTGCGCAGCGCAGTGATGCCAGCATAGGACAACCACGCCAGCGCCAGGCAAACCCATTTCGAGCGAGACTGGTCCGCATTAGCTGATCCAGCATGAGAAGGTGATGCGTGCAGATTCGTCTCGCTGGGATTTGCTGAAGCCATTCTCACGCTATCTCAGTACTATTCCAAACTACTGAGCATTACTTTCCAGCACCATGGTCCATGGCCAACATTTATCGTCCGGGTCTCCGAGTCCGACTACATTGTATGCTGGTATCGATCTCACTCCGAAAATTTATGGAATATATTTTTCGTCTCCTGGCGCTTTTGAAGTAAGTTTTTCCTGGGGCGTTGCGTCGCGCGATCGCCGGCCAAGTGTCTTCGTTTCCATAGTTTCGGATATGGCGTCAAACTGAACGAGATCGCGAGATAGATTTGCCAGAAATAATTTTTCTTTAGCTTTTTGCATGCATATAATTATGGCTGCATATGCACGCTGTTCTACAAAAATGTAGCTGTTGGTGCTTTTTGTTTGTTTCCTGTTTGTATGTTGCATCGTGAAAGTATTTACAAATACCCGCACATGCACTCTGGCTGTATGGAGGCAGTTCTACTGATGTAAATAACTAATGTTGCTGTTTGGAAGGAGGAGATAATAAGTATTACCTCTTTTACTATCCCATTTACTGGTGCTGCAATCATGAGCGCAAAGAAGGCAGAATCCAAAGATATTGAATATCAACCAGGCGATATTGGAAAGAAAATCGGCAAGGCTAAACACCTTTCCAGCAGCGTTCTCCCCTTCGCTGGGTTGTTCGAGGGCGTATCACGACCTTCTGGCCGCTTGGTAGTGTCGACCTCGGCTCCATTGCCACCTCCAGTATCTGACGAAGCTGCCAAGGGAACTGGAAGTGTTTCTGCCAGCGATCGTCATGCTGTATCAGGTGATGCAGCAGCATCAGGTGCTCTTGGAAAAAAGCCTGGGGCGCGAAACAGAAAGAAGAAGGAAAGGGCTTCTGATCCCGAACGTGACCAGCGGACTTTATTCATCAGTAATTTACCAGTGACGTATTCCCAGAAACAACTATCGCGTCTCTGCAGCGAGTATGGCCTCATCTCGTCAGTCCGATTCCGTTCTGTTGCCATTTCCAGTGCGGAAAAGTCGCGCAAGGTGGCTGTAATGAAGCGAGAGTACGACACGGAGCGAAATGTTAAAAATGGCTATGTTGTCTTCTGCGAGGAAGATGGCGTGCAGAAGGCGCTGGCTCTCCAGAACAGAGTGATTGAAGGCCGTCACATCAGGGTGGACGTTGCTTCCGGCTCTGGCCATGACTACAAGTCCAGTGTGTTTGTTGGCCATTTGCCGCCAAAGGCAGACGAAGAAAGTGTGCGAGCATTTTTCGAGGAGAACTGTGCTCCTGTGGTCAGCGTCCGTCTGATCCGTGACTCAAATGGCGTGGGCAAAGGCTTTGGCTATGTGAGATTTGTGGAATCCAGCAGTGTCCTTCTTGCACTCAAATGCCACCAGTCCGAGTTCCAAGGCAGGCAAATTCGAGTGTTCAAGGCGAGAAAGAACTTCACCAGCACACAAGCCAAGCCCGAGGACAAATCCCGGCGCAGCTTTGCCGGTGAGTATGCCAAGAAGGGAGACAAGAAAGCCAAAAACTTCCAACGTCCGGCAGGTAGTGGAAAGCCGAAACAAAAGAAGCAAAACAAGAAATCGCAGCAGGTGAAGCAAATGAAGAAGGAGAAGCGAATGCAGAACATTGAGAAGCGGTCGGCCGCAAAGTCTCGCGTCAAGCCCAAGCAGTCCTGATGCTACAGCTGAGTCAACCAGAGTGAGCATTGCATCCCGTTTCTGTTGTCTATCATTGACCTGGTGTGTGGGGTGCTACTCGCGTGCGGTGCATTGTAAACACGACAGCACGTACATAGGCAGTGTGATGTCATCTCCTCTTCCACGCTACTCTGGTGTGTATTCTCTACTTGCTGGCCTGCTCTAGGGTACTTGTTACTAGTATAGTAGTAATGTTGTTGATATGAACCTTACTGCGTGTACATGTCATGCAGTGAGTTAAGTCACGTTTCAGCAATGATTTCAAGCCTGTCCAAGATGCAGGTACATAACCGTTAACGCCTAGCATTCCAGCCAGTACGCATTCCACATACAGTTTTTCCATGCAGCGCAGTGCGCCTTGATGCTACTGCTTACAATAATCTACATGTAGACGTGCATCTGTTGTGTTGTTCTTCATCACGACTAGTGGGTACTGTGACACGGATCTCATAGCAATGACACTGCTACACGTTCGGTATTGACTCAGACTCTTTTCTGTGTGGTATGGTACACGTGGCTCGGCAGTCAGTGGAGAGGAATCCGGCCGATATGTGTCAGTTCCGAACTACAGTTCTGCGCCGATTCACCGGCTGTGCTTGAAGTACACCCACTCATACTGGTGCATGCATGTATATGTTCATGTGCCGGGCATGTCCTGTTCATGTGCCGGTGCTTGAAATCCTTGCGTCCGAAACCAGTAAGAGCACAGTACTAGTACTGCCAGCCACCGAGGAGCGAAACAGGCTAGGATTTCTCCAACTACAGTGTTATGCTGGTATGTACACGTTGGCTCAACTGCATTTGCACGGCTGCTGTGCATGTACCGTAATGTCGCGTATAAAAGCGTGACCCGTATAGTAGCCGATTTTTCAAAGCGCACTGTGTCACAGACACACAATTAGTTGAATAGAAGCTGCGCTTCTTTGCGAGCCAAGATGTTGCAACTCGAAATACCGTAGAACTGCAGGCTGAGTACCAGAGTGCGGTACACTGCAAAGTATAGCACCTGCTTTGCGGCAAGCCGGTGTGTGCCTTGGGCTGTAGTCCGGACCTTTGGCATGGACCATCATCCGCAAGAGGGCATGATCATTGATGGGGGATTATGGACTCTTGGTAGTAGATCTACTCTTGTCTTGATATCAACTAATTACCTTACAAGCACAAATACTAGTACGGTACATGTACTGTATAAGAGGCCTGAGCTGCATCAGGGAGTCATACCCAAACCTGGTTTGAATTTGTATTGGGTACGACTCGGAACTCTCTGAGCTGCAGGATGCGATCGATGGCGCGTCAGCCTGTCGATATGTCTTGTATCAGGGAGCAGTACAATACCATAATTATTATATCTACTCCCCTGGGCCCTGTCTTGTATCAAGAGTACATAATAAACTTCATAAGTGGATCTACTCTTGCTTGTAAGCAGGGAGTAGTACAGTATTGTACTACTCCCTGCTTGTAAGTAAAGTTGTATGGTATGCACCGTCCGGAATACGCATGTGTACGTGTACATGTACGTCACATGTAACAGCTAGCTGTGCTGTAACGTTAACGTTATAATGTTATAACGTAGATCTATGGCACGTCATCTTGCTTGCCCATCACGTCATGATACGACGTGGCGCCGCTGGCGCGTGGCGCAGGGCCGCACTGCGCGCACTACGCGCCGCGCAGCCCGGAAATCGCATGACGCAATCTTTTGAAAGGGACGCTCAAATTATTTGAACAAAATATTTCCCCTCAAAACTCAGCAGCAGCAGATGAGATAGATATTCTCTCCTGTTTTCTTCCAGCTAGCTCAGCTTGACGAAGTGTACTGGAGGTTCTGAGTTTGGTGATAATTTCCCTAGAGTGGACTGAGTCTGTGACAGTGCACACAGATCCTAAGTTATACATTTCCTACCCACCAAGATTCACGATGGTGAAGGACAAAGCGAAAAAGGAAGAGAGCGGCCCAATCCAGCAAGTAGCATTTCAGACGTGCCTGAGCACGGTTGCGTATCCGTTCCATGTTGTGAGAACTCTTGTGCAGGTGGGCCACGAGCCTCTTCCATCGACTGTAGGGAAAACGTGGTTTGGTTTTGGAAGCAACGCCTACTTTTTGCCCAACTGCCTCACATACAGTGGACATATTCGTCGTACTGATGGCTACGCGGGATTGTACAGAGGGCTGGTGCCTTATGTGGTTAATGGTGGTTTGCAGCAAATCTCATCACGGTATTTGAACGATCTAATACCAACCGTAAAGAAAGATTCGAATGCATCCACGTCTGAATTCACAGTAGACGTGGTCAAGGATGTTGCTCGGAGTGCGGCCATCCGCACAGTAGTCATGGTCCTTGGTCACCCCCTTCACGTCATCAACATTCGCATGGTTGTCTACTTTGTAGGTCGAGAATCCGCCTACTCAAGCTTCATGGGAGCAGTGCGCTCCATCTACGAGGACGAAGGTGTGGGTGGCTTTTTCTCCGGTATAGTTCCACGCGTAATTGGAGAGTTGCTGGGCATGGTGGCTTACGAAGCCCTGTTCCGTACCATCCTGAAGATAGCCGAATCTGGTGGTCATGTTGACGACCATGAGGAGTTGGAGCTGTACGGTCGTACGCTAGTCAATTACCTGGTCAGAATCACGACCTACCCGTTCCAGCTGACATCCACACTGATGATCGTGGACGGTAGCAGGATGGCCGCTGCCTCGGCAGTGCCGGTTGATTGCAATGGCCGGTGGTACAAATGCCTGACGGCTCTCTACTCCAGCGGCAGGAACATGCGTGGAAACTCGCTCTTCAATCGCATCGACAAGAGCAGGCGTGTTTATACCACTCGCCTGTAAACACATGGCTGCCTGGTGGACACCGGGCATATCCTTACGATGGTAGTCTTGAGGCTGTTGTTGATTTCGTATGGACTACTCTACATAATATCACTCAATGTGGTCCTGTACGAAAAGAGAAAAAAAGAGCTTTAATATGGATAATGTACTTGTACAGCAGAGCATCTCGGCTATCACTAATGGCATGTGCACCTCAATGGCGGGCTGTGATGCTACCCCCACTTTGCTTTTTAATACATGCACCTTGATGGTTTACTGTGGACACTCTCGGAACGTACGAGATGAGCAGTTGGTGCAGGTAAGAGCCTATATCTGTAGTTTTCATGTGCTTAGTTTCTCTTGCTTCTGGGGTGTAGGAGCACCTTGCCTTCTCTTGCTTCTGGAGTGTAGGAGCGCCTTGCCTTCTCTTTCATTGGTGCAGGTCACCATCACCTTCATGTAGCTTTTGGGCAAAGTCTGATGAGATCGCTTTTTTTCTTTTCTTTTTTCTTCAAGCAATTGCCTCTTCCCTTGATGATTGATCTGTGCTGTCATTTTTAAGGCACGCGTCAGAATTGAAGTTTATGCTTTGCAGAGCATTATGGGTCTGCACTCTGCAGCTTGTGGATTTGAACATGATTCACACGGGGGCCTTGAAAGCCGTTGAATTTTGAAAAGTCCTCCAAGGCCCTTGAAAAGCCTTGAAAAGTGAAAACAAGAATGTTTTTGGTACGTAGGTGCATGTTGAACTGTGTTCATGATTCAAATTGTAATACTGTGCAGTCTGTATGTGATCGCACAGAACAGGCAGTACGGACAACAGCGTACAGTGAAGTAGACCTGTAAACTGCATGCAGTTGTGCTCGGTGAAATCAGACTCAGAGTGCACATGTTGCGCATTCAACTAGCACAGCCCATGACGCCCTGGAAGTGGTATGGATGCGGCAGGATGTACACGTGTATGAATACAGTGATGTAAACGGAACTGGTCTTGGGCACCGGTTTTGCACTTTTTGGTCAGATTTCAGTGAGCGCAACTGTACAAGCACTGGCATGTACAGTCCATTCATAAAAAAAGATTATATTCTTGCTTTTGGCAGGAACAATTTTTAAAGATTTTTTTGCAATCGTGAGATAAATAATGCTATTAAAATGCGCCGTGATTTTGTTTGGCAATCCCCTATGGAATGCTGTTCTGATGTCTATTTCTCCAAAGAGCAAGCTGTGGCATGAATAGAGGGCATAATCGATTGGGCGAATCGCGAGCGGGTGCGCTCTGAGTGAGCGCGATCGTTTGGCCGAGTCTGAAGACTGAAGTAGGTGTACTTGGAGGGCAATTCGACCACACCGGGAGTGGAAATGGACTTTGACGTTTTTTGACAACTTTCACAAAATCTTTTGTACAATATGCGACTATGCGTACATTTTGCGTACCACACTCTTGCTTTGTTTGATTGGGCCCGCGTGGCTCGGACCACACGGTCTGCTCGCATTCAATCCAGATTCGCCTAATCGATGACACCCGAGGTTACTGTAAAAGCCATATACATAACGAATTGCTAACTCTAACGAGGAGAAATCTGTCGTTAAAATAGAAATCGTTATACAGAAATCGATACATATACTGTCCTATTGAGCGTTGAGAATGAGTGAGAATCGTTACCTTTGGTACGTACGTACACGTAAACTAGTCAAATTTGGGAAATCGTTTTAATTATATGCGCCTCGTTAGAATAATGGTTTTTACAGTATGCGAATGATTTCATGGGGTGAGGCAGTGGATTTTCTCTAATGTGCGCTAAGTGCACAGTGTGACTCGCTAGTGCAAGTGCAGCGCTGTGCCGCGAGTCCGCGACTTCGCCAAAGCATTTCAACTGATGATGTAATCGCATAACCTCTATAGGATTTCGGCCAGGCTTTGCCCCAACAACTCTGAATTCAGAAAAACATGTAAATCCAGACTGTTTGA